AAAAAAAAAAAAAAAATTCTAAGATGTTAAAGATTTTTTAATAAGTGGTTGTTTTTTATTGGGCACCTATCCAAAATAAGGTGAAAAAGATGCTTAACATAAAAAATTCTAAGTCTTACTGCTTAGACATACATACTGACATAAGACATACTTATGACGACATAAGTCATACTGCTACTGACATAACTGTTAAAAAGGAAACAAACAAAAATAAATGGAAGATCAACATCCTTTACTCTTTAATTTCATAAAAAAAATAGTAAAAGATAGTAAAAGAACTATGAGCAGATTATGAAAATATTTCAAAACAATGCTGAGGAAATTGATTTTGATATTGAATATTATATTCGATCATGTAAAGTTTTTTCTAATTTTGAGGGGAGGAGATATAAACTTGTTAAAAACTTGAGGAAAATAATATTTTCTTAGGAAAACTAAGAAAGACCTTGGCCTGACAATTTCTGAGTGAAAGATGGAATTTTTTCTTTTTCTTTTTTTTTTTTTTGGGTTGTGATTTGGCCAGGGCCAGGTTTGAACCTGCCACCCTTGGTAGGGCCAGTGCCCTACTCACTGAGCCACAAGCACCACCCCGGAATTTTTTCTTTTTCAAATTATTATGGATAAATAATAGTTGTATGTCTCTTTTTTTTTTTTTTTTTTTGAGACAGAGTCTCAGTATGTCACCCTCAGTGGAATGCCATGGCATCACATCTCACCAGAACCTCAAATTCTTGGGCTTAAGTGATTCTCTTGCCTCAGCCTCTTAAGTAGCTGGGACTACAGAATAGTTGTATGTCTTCATAGGGTACATGTAATGTTTTGATACAGGCATACAATGTGAATTTCTTTGAAATGATATTCCAGCAGAAAATGTGACAATTTATGAGAAAGAGATTGATGGGGATTGGAATCGCCAAATCAGAAGCTCTGGTCCACTTCCTACCCTCCCCCAAGAAAGATAGAAAATCAACTTTGAATGTTTTATTTTAATGTTCCTGTATTTACTGATGTACATTTGGACTTGGAATACAAGTTTCAGTAAGATTAGTATCAGTCGATATGCCTTAAGTAGTCAGCTACTGTAAATATATAAAGAATAGGATATTACTTATGTCAGAGAGAAAGAAAGAAATTTGCTTTATACAGCAGATGGTAACTTACAATGTGGTAATTTGAATTTGGGTAAATTTGCAATCCACATAATTTTTTTTTGAGACAGAGTCTCACTTTGTCGTCCCCACCACCACCAATAGAGTGCTCTGGCATCATAGCTCACTGCAACCTCAAACTCTTGGGCTCAAGCAATTCTCTTGCTTTAGCCTCCCAAGTAGCTGGGACTACAAGTGCCCACCACAGCATCCAGCTATTTTTTTTTAGAGACAAGTTCTTACTCTGGCTCAGGCTGGTCTCGAACCTGTGAGCTCAGGCAATCTACCCGCCTCAGCTTCCCAAGTGCTAGGATTATAGGCGTGAGCCACTGCGCCTGGCTAGGCACATAATTTATATCAGAATTAGATCCATGTAAACAGACTAAGACTGATTAATCTATTTTTAAATAAAAATGAAGCAGCTATTTTGCAAAGAAGCTCATAGATGAAAGCCCTCTGTTTAGGAAAAACAAATCATTGTGTAGGCCTTGAGTTATTTTAAAATTCTTTGTACACTAAAGATTGATAGGCCAAACAAAGGAATTGAATGTCAGATTATAGCCAGCCAAATCAAAATTGCAAAGAAACTTCCTAAAGCAGAAAGGCTTATTAGAGCAGTCACTGTTGAGCTGAGGATACTCTTTTGAAATGAGCTTTAAAATAGCAGGTCCTGATGCCTCTGGCTTGACAAATTTTTTTTTCTTTTTCTTTTTTTATTTTTTTGAGACAGAGTCTCAACTTTGTCACCCTCAGTAGAGTGCTATGGCTTCATAGCTCACAGCAACCTCAAACTCCTGGGCTCAAACAATTCTCTTGCCTTAGCCTCCCGAGTAGCTGGGAATATAGGTACCCGCCACAACACCTGGCTGTCTATAGAGGCAAGGTCTCACTCTTGCTCAGGCTGGTCTCAAACCTGTGAGCTCAGGCAGTCCACCTGTCTTGGCCTCCCAGAGTGTTAGGATTACAGGTGTGAGCCACCATACCTGGCCATCATTTGTTTATCTTCTTACGATAAATATCTATTCAGATCTATTTAGATCCTTTGCCCATTTTTTTGTTGTTGTTGAGACAGAGTCTAATGCTGTCACCCTGGGTAGAGTGCTGTGGCATCATAACTCGCAGCAACTGCCAGCTCAGTCTAAAGGATCCTCTTGCCTCAGTTTTTCTATTTTTTAGTAGAGACAGGGTCTCCATTTTGCTCAGGCTGGTCTCAAACTCATGAGCTCAGGCAATCCACCCACCTTGGCCTCCTGGGATTACAGACAGGAGCCACTGTACCTGGCCTCCTTTCCCCATTTTTAAATCAGATTATTTAATTTTTTTCCTATTGAGTTGTTGGAACTCCTAATATATTCCGTGGCTTGTCTCATCATTTCATTGTTTCCCTTGCAGTATAAAAGCTTTTTAGTTTGATATGATCCCATTTAGAAAGATGGGGTTCGGCTCGGCGCCTATAGCTCAGCCGGCTAAGGCGCCAGCCACGTACACCTAAGGTGGCGGGTTCGAATCCCCAGCCCGGACCCGCCAAACAACAATGACGGCTGCAACCAAAAAATAGCCGGGCGTTATGGCGGGCGCCTGTGGTCCCAGCTACTTGGGAGGCGGAGGCAGGAGACTCGCTTGAGCCCAGGAGTTAGAGGTTGCTGTGAACTGTAATGCCACGGCACTGTACCCAGGGGGACAGCTTGAGGCTCCTGTCTAAAAAAAAAAAAAGAAAGACGGGGTTCTTGTCCACACCCACAATCAAGGGTGATCAAAGCCTCTTGGTGGTAGTTCCTCAGTAGAGTCCTAATTTATTAAGGTTCTAATAAACAGCTTAATTTCTTTAATTTTTTGGAAATTTGAAAGATGTTACCATACTGCTTGAACTTGGATATTTTCTCTTAAATGCTGTGATGTCTAGATGGAAACATATTTTATCTGTCATATTTAATGATGGTGCTAATAGAGTGAAATAAAACTGTTGAAAATACCTCGATAGCAAAAAGGAGATTCTGATAGTATAATCTGTTATCTTGATATTCTTTGTAATAATACACCTTTTCTTAATTAAAGGAAAACTATACTTATATAGACTTTGGACTTTGAGCAGACACGAAGCACAGTTAATTTCTTCAGTGCGTATTTGTCAGGCATCTGCCATCTGACAGGTGTGTGGCATTGCCTGGGCACAGGCGTGTGCTCATTGCCCCTACTGAGCTTGTAGCCTTGTGGGAAATACAGACATCTATTAAATGGTTACATAAGTAAATGTGAAATTACAGCCACGTCAAGTGCTACAAGAGAGATATCACTGTGCATTGAGAGCATAGTCTAGGATCAGAGCTGGGCACTGGCTAAGGGATCAGGGAAGGCTTCCCTCAGGAAGAGCCTAAATGTCCTGAGATCTTAGGATCATTAAAGTTCACCCAGCAAAGAGGGAGCACAAGCTGCTCAAAGCTGCCAGGGTGACTGGAACCAGGGAACCAAGGGGAGCCAGATCCTTGGAGGCCTTCCCATGGGTAGAGCCAACCGGGGTGGGTGTCAACTGCATTTCGAGGGCACGTAGTGGTAGGGGGAAGACAGCACAATCAGATTTGTCCTTTGCAAAAATTCTGGAAGCATTTGGAGAGTGAAGGGAAAAGAACCAAGACGGGCTGAGGAGACTTGTGAGAAGCTATGCAGTGGTCCAAGTGAGAGATGATGAAAGTGACAGGGACACTGAAGTAGGTGGGGATGCAGGAAGACTCCCAAGGTTCCAGCTGCCCAAGCAAGACCCATGGCCGTGCCCTTTACAGGGCATCAAGCCTCCCCAAGGGCGGGTGTGGGGACCATACCTTCACCAACAGAACAGGCTTTTCTAATCAGTTCTCTGATTTTTACTCTTTCAAACAGGGTAACTTCTTTCAAAATATTGGTTCCATCACCCTGTTTGCTGTTTTCGGTACGGCCATCTCCGCTTTTGTAGTAGGTGGAGGAATTTATTTTCTGGGTCAGGTAAGAAAAACATCTTTGAAAAACTTTGAAAATCTTATATTCTTGGAGCTAGTGCAGGGAGGTGGAGTAGGAAGACCTGCTGGGGCCTGGGTTTCCCTTTCAGGGTAAAGGCCCTCCGGGAAAGAAGGCCCAGCTGCACGTGGGGCACAGTAAAGGCGTGTTAGATGGTTTCTAAGTGCCCTCCAAGAATGTTGGTATCTGGAATTGAGTGAATCTTTTCCATAATCCGCAAAAGTATTTGTTCTTATTTGCAAACCAATACTGTCTTAAATTGGAATACCTAAAAATAGAGTATATGGTACCAAGACCTTCAGATTATAATGGTATCAGTTGTGTTAGATAGACTGAATCAGGATTAACAGTTTTTTTTTTTTTTGAGTCAGAGCCTCAAGCTGTCCCCCTGGGTAGAGTGCCGTGGCATTACAGCTCACAGCAACCTCCAACTCCTGGGCTCAAGCGAGTCTCTTGCCTCCGCCTCCCAAGTAGCTGGGACCACAGGCGCCCGCCACAACGCCCGGCTATTTTTTGGTTGCAGCCGTCATTGTTGTTTGGCGGGTCCGGGCTGGGGATTCGAACCCACCACCTTCGGTGTACGTGGCTGGCGCCTTAGCCGGTCGAGCTATAGGCGCCGAGCCGATTAACAGTTTTTTAATAAAAATTTTCATTTTTAAATCAAGGATTCTGACTCTGTTCACTCAATTCTATCTGCCTGTAGAATTATATACTCTGGATTTTCTACCACTGCTAAACCACTTCCCACTGGCATCAACTGGGCATTCTGTACTTTGGCCTTGAATTTGAATTAATGTAGACCAGACATCCTTAGGAAGATGGTCTCTGTAGTTTTGCATTGTGCATGTCCACGCACGTCACAGTTTTTGTCCTTTACTGCTGGTTGCAGAAGTTTGCCTGCCCCACTTCTGCAAACTGAAGTAAAGGTCCGGCATCCGGGCGACTGGCAGATTTCTCTTCCACATGTCAGCTGCTTTCTTCTCTTGATAGCTAAAGCCCATTCCATCTGATTTTCACCTTTATTGCTGCTTCAGTGGCACCAGCATAAATCTGTCTGTCATGCAACTTTGTTCATTGCTCAGCTTCTAGTATCAAACAGAAATAAACTCTAGAGAAGAAAACTGCCATTAATTGGGCTTGAAAAATGTAGCATTCTTTTCCATACTTTTGTTGTATGATGATCGAATGCATGCTTAAACTAGAACTTAGAAGAGTTTTCTTTATTTTTCAAGTGGTTCGGGGGCTGAAGATTAATGTCCTCATTAGTTTTAATGAAGCACTAATGGACATTTTAATCTTCTTGGCTGTTCTCCAGGGGTTTTTTTTGTGTCTGTGTGTTTGTGTGTTTTATTTTACAGGCTGATGTAATCTCTAAACTCAACATGACAGACAGGTAAATCCTTCATTCTGTAACACCCATGTGACTGCTTTTCAGGCTGGGGAAAATTTTCTCCACATTGCTTCCTGGGTGTGGTACTTTTTTATTTCTCTCTCTCTCTCTCTCTCTGTTTCTGTCTCTCTTGTGTATATATATATTTTCTTTTGCTAAGGATTTCTGCTGTAGAATCTATTTTGAATTAATTTATGTCTCGGAAATGAATCAGAACTAGATTGAAGATTTTGAAGATCCCTAGTAAGAGCATTATTGATTGAAATGACTGATTTAGTTTAAACTCTGGTCTCTTAACTCCCCTGTCATACTGCATACCCCTTGCACTATTGGCCTTTTGTCATTTCTAAGTCTTTTCAGCAGCCATAATAAAAAGCTGTCCTCTTGAGAGATTAGGAATGGGGAGAGTGAAGGGAGAACCTTTACTCTGAGATTCCCACCAACTCTGGGGTGGGCTTGGGGTGGGGACAGAAGGGGCTGTATTTTGAGTACCCCCTCAATCCTCAGCTACTCCAGTGAGCACTCTCCATTGAGCTGCTGTCTAGGAGGCCCACCCAGGAATTCTCACAATGGCTTAGTGAGAAGCAGCCTAGGCAGCTGCCTCTCAGAAAGTACTAGAGCTAGTGCTGAAAAAGTGCCTGAGCAGAGCACAGCCTGGTTAGCCCACACGGAAAGTATGCAGCCTCCCTCCATGTCTGCGTCCACCATCAGTGCTTGGTTTGGTCTGGTGGCATGGCTGGGGAGCTGGGAAGTGCGGTCAGGTGGTGAGCTCCACCCAGGTCCTTGCCGTGGGGCCAGATTTTTTTGGCTTTAGCAGCAATTTAGCAACTTGGGACTCGAATTTTAGACTCTTTTCCATGGGAAATGTGCCTTTGACAACAAGTCTAATCCCATTCCCATCTCTACTTGCCACCTTCCGTAGCCTGGGACATAAATTTTAGAGCTTTTGTGGTAAGACAGTTTTGATACGTAAAAGTCACATACCTCTTCATAGGAGCTAAAAATAAAGCAGAATGATGTAATGTGTTTTGTAGGTATTTGTAAGCAAAAAGAGTGCCCTAAGCCCAGTTGACCTGTAAGAAGGTATCATAGCATTCAAACCTGTTTAGGAGACAACTGGTTGGAGATAGAGTCAATGCTGGATAGATGTTTGTGAATTGAATCAGAGGTTGGGGTGGTCAGGTGGAGGAGAGGGAAAAATTGCCCATAGACAAGCCACCTAAGGGTTGGGTAGGGTGTCTCTCTCCACGTGCAGATGTTTTTTGTGGGGGCTGCTCTGGGGTGGCAAACCCACACAACTGTAGGGCTTGGCAAAGACTCAACAGGGAAGCCAGTCAGGTCTGAGTCTAGAGGTGGGACAGTGGCCAGCAGGAGAGCACACCATGTCACAAGGGAACAGCTACATCTCAGCTCCACCTAATAATCACCATGTGAAAATACAAGCCCAGAATTACTAGATATTTAAAGTAATTTTTTTCAAAAGAGGCCAAGTTTCTAAAGTTTTGTAGGGATTTTCCAGTTTTGTTTTTTTTTTGAGACAGAGCCTCAAGCTGTCCCCCTAGATGGGGTGCTGTGGCATCACACCCCACAGCACCCTCAAATTCTTGGGCTTAAGCAATTCTCCTGCCTCTGCCTCCCAAGTAGCTGGGACTACAGGCGCCTGCCACAACGCCCGGCTATTTTTAGGCTTAAGCAATTCTCCTGCCTCTGCCTCCCAAGTAGCTGGGACTACAGGCGCCCGCCACAACGTCTGGCTGTTTTGGTTGCAGCCATCATTGTTGTTTGGCACCCCGGGCTGGATTCGAACCCACCAACTCAGGTGTGTGTGGCTGGTGCCTTAGCTGCTTGAGCCATAGGCGCCAAGCTGATTTTCCAGTTTTTAAATGTTGGTAACTTACTCCATTTTTCTTTCTTTCTTTCTTTCTTTCTTTTTTAGATACAGTCTTACTTTGTCGCTCTCAGTAGAGTGTTCTCAGCTCACAGCAACCTACAGCTCTTGGGCTTAGGCGATTCTCTTGCCTCAGCCTCCCGAGTAGCTAGGACTACAGGCACCCGCCACATTGCCTGGCTATTTTTTGTTGCAGTTTGGCTGGAGCAGGGTTTGAACCTGCCACCCTTGGTATATGGGGGCAGTGCCCTACTCACTGAGCCATAGGCACAGCCCCACTTATTCCATTTTTCAAAAATACCATGCAGACTCAACAGGAGCACCACAGGCCATTTTTTGAAAACTCTGTATTATCATAAAAATGGGCCAGGCATGATGGCTGCCTATAATCCTGCCACTCTGGGAGGCCAAGGCAGGTGGATTCCTTGAGCTTAGGAGTTTGAGACCAGCCTGAGCAAGAGCGAGACCTTGTCTCTAAAAATGTAGCTGTGCTTTGTGGCATGTGCCTGTAGTCCTAGCTACTTGCGAGGCTGAGGCAGGAGGATTGCTTGAACCCAGAAGTTTAAGATTGCTGTGAGCTAGGCTGAGGCCATAGCATATAAGTGTGGGCAACAGAGTAAGACTCTGAAAAAAAAAGAGAAAAAGAAAATGTAAAAATGACTTTGTTGTATAGATTTTATTTTAGTGATATTTCTGCCAGAGAGATTTCACTCTTAAGTACCTTGAAATGTTTCACTATTTCATTTTTGTTTTGTTGATGTTGCTATCTTTTGAAGTGACAGAATAAAGAAAACACATTTTTAAGTTACAATTCTCTCTCTCTTTCTCTCTCTCTCTCTTTCTTTTCTTTTCGACAGAGTCTCACTATGTGGCCCTCAGTAGAGTGCTGTGGCGTCACACAGCTCACAGACCTCAAACTCTTGGGCTTAAGTGATTCTCTTGCCTCAGCCTCCCAAGTAACTGGAACTACAGGCACCCGCCACAATGCCTGGCTATTTTTTGTTGCGGTTGTCATCGTTGTTTATCTGGCCCAGGCTAGGTTTGAACCCGCCAACCTCAGTGTATGTAGCTGGCACCGTAACCACTGTGCTACAGGTGCCAAGCCTATCTTCCAGCCTTTCAAAGAACTGACTGGGTCATGAAGGTGTGGCCAGGTTAAGTAACTCCTTAGATATAAACCTCTCAATTCAGGAGTTTGTATTTCAGACATTTTATATTCCCTGTCAGAAATACTCTGCCTCAATTTAGATTCCCAATGAAAGCTAAATATGTTATGTGATTTATACAAATCATTTCTCTCCAACTTTTTATTTTGAAAAAAAATTTTTTTTTAAGATAGTCTCACTATGTCACCTCTAGAGTGCAGTGATGTCACAGCTCACAGCAACCTCAAATTCTTTTGGGCTTAAGTGATTCTCCTTCCTCAACCTCCCAAGTAGCTAGGACTATAGTTGCCCACGACAACACCCAGCAGTTTTTTGGATGTAGTTGTCACTGATGTTTGGCAGGCCCGGGCTAGGCTCAAACCTGCCACCTCCGGTGTATGTGGCTGGCACCCTAGCTGTTTGAGTTACAGGCACCAAACCTATTTTGAAAATTTTCAAACATGCAGAAAAGATGTAGCCTTCCATAGTGAACACCCATATTTCCACCACAGAGATGCTGTAATTACCCTTAACTATATTTGCCTTCACACATATCCTTCCATCTATCCATCCCTCTCCCCATTCATAAGTTCACCTGCTAGCTCCTGCTATCTTGTCTCCAGTTCAGGATGTCAGAAGATTTTAACAAAGTATATCAGCCAGGCCTCCTCTTCCAATGCAGCTTAAACCCAACACAAAGTAGTTTAAGCCAAAAAGGGAAAAAAAGATGTTTATTGGCTTATAGGACTAAAGCGTCCCCAGAATGATGGCTGCTGGCATGACAGTCTCTAGTGGCCAGAATGTTGAGAATCTCTTCTCTTGTTGGGTCTCAGTTCAGCTCCCTCTTGAGAGGTTTCATCTGCCCCACAAAGTAGCACAGACAGCACCAGGCTCGCATTACCCTCACTTCAGCCACCTCTGCCTAAAGGGCCACCCTGTTCTCTAAGCTGGTAACATGCTGACAGTGAACCTCGTTGATCAAGTTCTGGCCTTATGCCCACACCTAGAACTCCACGTGGCTACAAGGTTTGAGAGTGGGAGGAGGTGTGGCTTCCCAGAGGAAAATTCAGGGCTGTTACCCGGACCAAGCATGTGGGTACTGACCAGGGAGAGCTGTGGCTGTCCACCCTCCTGTGCTGTGCATGGAAGTGGAGAGAGGCCACTGCAGGATACACTTTGTAGGCATCCTTCACCAGTCATGGCCCATTGTGATACTGCCGTGGTTGATGAGAGTGAGAATAAAAGAGAGACAAGACATTCTGGGTCTAGGCTGCAATTCCAGGGCCTGAGGACCAGCCCCCAACAAGATAGGGCCTCCCAGGTTGGCAGTTGTTTGGGGATGCTGCCTTCCCATCCTACCTCCCCCTCACCCGCTTCCTGCCTGCCTTCTGCAAGGATCTCTGGGCCACACTCAGGCCACAGATCCTGGGAACACACCCATGATGACAACACAGCATCTGGCCCCTTAGAGCCTGCATTTATGAGATAACCTCTGTGAGGACAGGTGAAGTCCAGGAACTGAGGTCTATAGGAGACCATCTTGTAGGGTCTGGTTCTCAGCCTGGGGTCCCGAGGCCCTTCCAGATGAATTCACATTTATTACACTCACAGGGAGTTACCATGGAAACCAGAGGCCAAATTTCAGGTTTACAAAGAGAGCCATAACTGGCAAGGCAACCAGGCATTTTGGTCAGCATTGTCTCCCTGACCCTGGGGGCAGATGATTATCCATCAAAGGCTGCCTGGTGCCCTCTTCCCTCTCACACCCAAGGTGGGTGAGGGTGGGAAGCACAGGGTTGGTGGTCTCTGGCTTATGACTGGTACAGACTGTGCCCTAGGGGCTCCTTGTTGTGTCTAGTGTCGTAGAAGGGGACAGCCCCACCAATCTGTCTGCACTAGAAAGAAAGCAGCACCCAGCATAGCAGATTGAGGGAATAGAAGCTTGAAAGAACAGCCAGGGCCCTCCTGGGAGCTGGGCCTGTCACTCTTCCCCCCAATAATGCCCCTGCTGCCATAGGCACCTTCTTCCTGTTTCTCTGGCAGCCAGACTTGCTCCCACCTCGGGGCTTACTTGCTGTCACCTCTGTCCCCAGGTGTTGGCCTGGCAGGCTGGCTGCTGCTTGTCACATAGGTTCTTGCACAAACGTGTCACCTCTTCAGAGGCCTTTCCGGACCCCCCATTCTGAGGGTTCCACACACTTCCCGTCAGGTTACTCTTTCTCACATCACCCTGATTTATTTCCGGTGTCACAATGGCGGTTTTCTAAATTTGTCTTAGTATGTGGATTTTGCTGTTCCCAGCATTCTGCTAAGGGGTGCTGGCTCCTGGCTCTACACTTGTTAGCTGACTGACTGGGGCAGGTCATTTGATCTCATTGTCCGTCAGTTGCTCCTGTGGCCTGGAGCAGTAGAATTCCTCTCCCATACAGTTGCTGTGTGCCATGTTAAGTTACTATATGTGAAGTGCTCAGAACGGTGCCTGGGCTGTGGGAGAGGTGGCTCGATCTCCACGGGTGCTGTCAGTGAGATCCTCTGGCCTGCCTAGGAGAGGCCTCAGCTCTCCTGCAGCATGTTGGCGGTGCTGCTAGTTTTTGGCAGTTTCTTAGGTGTTGCAAAGGCAGAGGCTGGTTGTAGATGGCACTCCAGTGGTCTGGTGGTAAGGGGCAGAGTAGAGGTCAGACCTAGGAGCTCATGGGCTTTTTGGCACCAGCTGATTTGACCAAGAGGGCTGGACAATGAGTAATGTAGCCAAGGAAAAGACTTCAGTCTATCACTGGTCAAAATAAAGTCTCAGTATCGACAGTGGAAACCCAGGCCATTCCTAGCGACTTATTTTAGAGGGGGCCCTTCACTACTCCTTTAGTAGAGAAGTGGGAAAAAATACCATACCATCTGCTGTAGCTGCTTCTGCGCCAGCGTGTACTGTTGTGTTATGTTAAATGCAGTCTTTGACTCTGATGCTTTGAATCATGGACCAAGTGTGGTACACACTTCAGAATTTCTCCCTTCCTTTTCTCTTCCAGTTTTGCATTTGGCTCTCTGATATCTGCTGTGGATCCTGTGGCCACTATTGCTATTTTCAACGCACTTCATGTGGACCCCGTGCTCAACATGCTGGTTTTTGGAGAAAGTATTCTCAATGACGCAGTCTCCATTGTCCTGACCAAGTAAGTGTGGAGAGAACAAACTGCTTTCTCCGGTGATGGAATTCAAGGTCCTTGTAACAAAGGGACCTTTCCTGTTTCCACAAAGCTACACGTACAGTCACTTGTCCTCTGGGCGGTTGGCCCACCTTTCCCCCTCCCCCTGCCCCGCACCTATTATCTTTCTTACCTCTCTGCCCTGACAAGCCTTCATGTGCCACAGGAATATTCCTAGGGTCCACAGCTGATTAGGAGAAGAGAGTCCCCTTTTTTGACCCATCTTTTAGTGGTGGCTTCTGAGCCCAGCTTCCTCAGCATTACTGTGCTGCTTATTAAATGTGACCTTCCCGGGCTCCACCCTCAGAGCTTGTGATTCATTTGGTCAGGGGTGAGTCCCGAGTTCCCTGGGTGATGATGAAACAGTCATTGGGGAATCAGTGTTTGGGCAGCATCATTTGAGACAAAAGCAGTGGACACTTTCTGGTTCATGTCACCTTCATTTTCACATCTATAAAATAAGATCGTAATAATAATAGGTATCCCGCCTTAAGATGCTATTATGTAAAAGCTACTTGGAGGGCGGCTCCTGTGGCTCAAAGAAGTAGGGCACGGGCCTCATATGCCGGAGGTGGCGGGTTCAAACCCAGCCCCAGCCAAAAAATGCAAAAAAAAAAAAGCTACTTTGGAAACTGCAAATTTTTTCCAGATGTTTATTGGTATTACTGCCTTGGTTGTTGGGATCTGAGAAATTAAAGATGAATCAAAAAATGTCAAGAATCATTGGGAAAAGGAATTCATTTAAAATAATCTCAATCGCTTTGTGCCCATAGCTCAGTGGATGGGGCGCCGGCCACATACACCAGGGCTGGTGAGGTGGGTTTGAACCCGGCCCAGGCCTGCTAAAAACAGTGACAACTACAACAAAAAAATAGATGGGCATTGTGGCAGGACCTGTAGTCCCAGCTACTTAGGAGGCTGAGGCAAAAGAATCTCTTAAGCCCAAGAGTTTGAAGTTGCTGTGAGCTGTGATGCCACAGCACTCTACCAAGGGTGACATAGTGACACTCTGTCTCAAAATAAATAAATAAAGAATAATAAAGGCTCGGTGCCTGTGGCTCAGGTGGCTAAGGCGCCAGCCACATACACCTAAGGTGGCGGGTCGAATCCAGCCCGGGCCCGCCAAACAACAATGATGGCTGCAACCAAAAAATAGCCGGGCATTGTGGCGGGCGCCTGTGGTCCCAGCTACTTGGGAGGCGGAGGCAGGAGATTCGCTTGAGCCCAGGAGTTGGAGGTTGCTGTGAGCTGTGAGGCCACGGCATTCTACCCAGGGGGACAGCTTGAGGCTCTGTCTCAAAAAAAAAGAATAATAAAAATAAAATAATCTCAAATGCATTTATCTGATGCAGTTCTCTATGCTTAGACTCTGCATTTTATGGTGGTCATTCACACATGTGGGCAAGAGACCCAAAGATTTTTGCCAAAATACAGAGAAGGCACAGACTGCTAAAGCAGTTAGAGAAAGCCAGGAGCACCCTGGAACCCCAACCGCTCTTAGAGACTGAGGCTGGAGAATCACTTGAACCCAGGAGTTGGAGACCCGCCTGGATAATGTAGTATGAGACTCCATCCCTCCCACACTAGTAAAACACAGTTTTTGGAGAAAAGAACCCTGGATAGTGTATCAGAATGAACAAAGGGAATTTTAAAAGCCAATATTATGTTCTCTTAGAGAATAGAATTTTCATTTATTTGAATACTGACTTTCTTTTGTTGTGGGATTTCTTGCTAAGTTTAACCACTCTATGCTAGTTAGCATTTTTTTTTTTTTGAGATAGAGTCTCGTTTTGTTGCCCTTGGTAGAGTGCCATGGCAACATAGCTCACAGCAACCTCAAACTCTTGGCTCGAGTGATTCTCTTGCCTCAGTCTCCCATGTAGCTGGGACTACAGGTGCCCATCACCACCTGGCTATTTTTAGAGTCTTGCTCTGGCTCAGGCTGGTCTTGAACCTGTGAGCTCAGGCAATCCACCTGCTTCGGCCTCCCAGACTGCTAGTATTATAGGTGTGAGCCACCTCACCCAGCAAAGCTTTATTAGATGTTCAGAAGGATTTGGTTTGGGGAGTGAACAGTTTAATAGGTATTATGTGACATCAGTTAATGTGACATCCTTTCTTCTACTCCTGCTTCCAGTTATTGTTTCACCACGTTTGCCCCATCTTCACCTGTTTTTGCCCGGCATTTGCAGAAAAGCTTACCAAATACTGCCTAATTGCAAGAGGTGCTCAGCAGACCTTAGGAAAAAAGCAAACCTTAAAATATTTTTGGTATTCAAAAAGTAATACACATATTCTTCATAAAAAATTAAGAAACCGGCTCGGCACCTATAGCTCAACCAGCTAAGATGCCAGCCACGTACACGTAAGGTGGTGGGTTCGAATCCCCAGCCCGGACCCACCAAACAACAATGACAGCTGCAACCAAAAAATAGCCGGGCGTTGTGGCGGGCGCCTGTAGTCCCAGCTACTTGGGAGGTGGAGGCAGGAGACTCGCTTGAGCCCAGGAGTTGGAGGTTGCTGTGAGCTGTAATGCCACAGCACTCTACCCAGGGGGACAGCTTGAGGCTCTGTCTCAAAAAAAAAAAAAAAAAATTAAGAAACCACACCAGCAAGAAAGAAAGTAAGAAAAATCACACATATTGCTACTCTCCAGAAATAATTATGGTTAATAATTTGGTGTAAGTATATGTCTATTTTGTTTAAAGGAGTTTGTACTTCAAATATAATGTTGTAATTTTTCCATTGAACAGAGTTGATAAAACAATCTTCTGTAACATCATTTATTGGTTACAGAGTATTCCTTTCTGTGGATTTACCATAATCTATTTAAGCAGTTCCCGTTTTCATGTTTCTCTTGGCAGAAACTTCTGTAGCTTTCTTAGGAAATTACCATACATCATGCTGCAAGACCTTTAAACAATCTGATGGCAATATTTTTTCTTATTTAAGATCTATTCTGAAAGCTGCTTCGCTCTCTGGTTTTTACTTTTATCTTGTATCCTGGCTACACATATTGAACATTTGTGATAACAAAGTTTGCCCAACTTGGAGATGACATCACAAGTTATTTTTATACATTGGGAACTGAACTCAATAGCTTTGTCTCTGATTTATTTAAAAAAATCTGTCAGAGGTAGGACCTGTCCTGAAATTTTCTAAGTCTCTTTGCTGCATAAAGGCCAGGGATTAAGAGATATTTTCTATTTAAGAAAAGAAATGGGCAGTGCCTGTGGTTCGAAGGAGTAGGGCGCCGGCCCCATATACCAGAGGTGGCAGGTTCAATCCCAGCCCTGGCCAAAAACTGAAAATAAATAAATAAAAATTAAAAAAAAAAAAAAAAGAAAGAAAAGAAATGATGGAGTTATTGTAAATAGCCAAAGGTTCTTACTGAAAAAGTGCTTTTGAAGGCCAAGATCTCCTGGGATGACAGTTTCCACAGTTGCATCTACGGATCACTTGCATGTTTAGTTCCAGCCTCTTCTTCCACCATGAGCCTACTCCTCTGAGCTATAGGCTGGCTTAGGAATCAGCCTCACTGAGTCTCCTGACCAAGGCTGGTCACCTGCCATCAGCGTTTGGTGAGGGACTTCTGTGTGCCACATGCTGCTCAGAGACCAGTTGGATTTGCTGAACTTGGGACATGGTGGGTGAAAGATTACAGAGAAGTGAACACAGTGCCTTGAGTATGAGGGGGCACAACAACCATGAGGGATCTAAGGAGGCTTCTCAGATGAGATGCCGCTTTAGCTAGGCCTGGAAGGCCAGGAGGCATTTTCAAAAGAAGCAAGAGAGAAAAGGGGCATGGGAGACCTGTTTTGTTCTTGTTTTTGCTTAGTATTAGTATATCAAAAAAAAAAAAAAATACCCACAACCTAGCTCCTTGGAGCTGTCATCACATATCTTTGGTTATGAAGTAGAATCATATTTTTTAAGAGTTGTGCTTCATTGGTTCGGTGCCTGTAGTTCAGCGGCTGGGGCACCGGCAACATACACCGGGGCTAGCAGGTTCCAACCCGGCCCGGGCCTGCCAAACAACAATGACAACTACAACTAAAAAATAGCCAGACATTGTGGCCAGTGCCTATAATCCCAGCTAGTTGGGAGGCTAAGGCAAGAGAATCACGTAAGCCCAAGAATTTGAGGTTGCTGTGAGCTGTAACACCACAGCACTCTAGTGAGGGTGACATAGTGAGACTCTGTCTCAAGAAAAAAAAAGAGTTGTGTATCATAAACAGTCATCTCCAAAGTGATCTGACACATTTATCTTTGCAACTGAAAATGTGCATGAATTACCCCTTTTTATTGCTGTTACCTTCATAAGTGCCAGAAGGTACTTACATACTTCTGTCTCCTCATTAATTTTTAATTAAATCATGTTTTGCTTTGATTTGTTACTGTGACAGGGTATTTTTATAATAATTGCTATAGAGGGCTCTGTCGCCTGTGGCTCAAGTGGCTAAGGCCCCAGCCACATACACCTGAGCTGGCAGGTTCAAATCCAGCCTGGGCCCACCAAACAACAATGATGGCTGTGACCAAAAAATAGCCAGGCATTGTGGTGGGCACCTATAGTCCCTTGGGAGGTGGAGGCGGGATACTCGCTAGAGCCCAGGAGTTGGAGTTGCTATGAGCTGTGATGCTATAGCACTCCACCCAGGGCAACAGCTTGAGGCTCTGTCTAAAAAAATAAATAAATAAAAATAATTGCTATAGAGGAAACTACTTGTTCTCTCCAGCTATAGCTCATGAAACAGACCCTGAAATAGCATTGTCTTTTGTTCTTTAAGGTATGAAACATGACTTTAGGCTGCATGCAGTGGCTCACGCCTGTAATCCCAGCACCCTGGGAGGCCAAGGAAGGATGGATTGCTTGAGCTCAGGAGTTCAAAATCAGCCTGAGCAAGAGTGAGACCCCATCTCTAAAAATAGCCAGGCGATGGCTCAGTGCCATAGCTCAGTGGTTAGGGTGCTGGCCACATACACCCGGGCTGGCAGATTTGAACCCAGCCCAGGCCAGCTAAAATAACAGTGACAACTACAACAAAAAAATAGCCAGGCATTGTGGTGGGTGCCTATAGTCCCAGCTACTTGGGAGGCTAAGGCAGGAAAATCGCTTAAGCCCAAGAGTTAGAGGTTGCTGTGAACTGTGATGCCACAGCACTCTACCAAGGGCAACAAAATGAGACTCTGTCTAAAAAAAAAAAAAGTAGCTGGGTGATGTCGTGGGTGCCTGTAATCCCAGCTACTTGGGAGGCTGAGGTGAGAGAATCGTTGAGCCCAAGAGTTTGAGGTTGCTGTGAGTTATGATGCCATGGCACTCTACCGAGGGTGACAGAGTAAAACTCTGTCTCAAAAAAAAAAAAGGCTCATAGTTATTTGACCAAACTACCCTTCCACCAGAGATTATTCTGCTTTAAAAATAGTATCAATTCATGAAATGCCGATGAATGAGGCTGAATATTGCTCTTGACTAGTCTTTGTTTCATTTACTGATTTAGCAAAAATATGTTGAGTATCTTGTGTGCTAGGATCTGCTTTAGGCTCTAGGCATGAACAAGATGGACACAGCTTGGACATGAAGCTTAGTCTTCATGAAATAACACATTGTGGGTTTCACATGCTATGAAGGGGAAGTCAGGCACCATGAGAACCTAGTGATGGTCTGGTCTGTATGAAGGGCAGGGAGTTAGCTGAGACCAGAGAAAGGTTAGCTGATGGGAGTTAGCTAATGACCTACTGGGAGGTACTGGTGACAGGATGGCCCCATCCTGAATGAGGAACAGATGAGGTCAGAGAGGTATTAGGGCAAGAGCCAGGTCATGCTAGGAAGACTGGGCATCCACCCAGTAACACTGGAGGAGTTTCGGAAGGGCTGATGATGTGATTAGATGTGCATTTGAAAGAGATCATTTAGGCCACTGAGTATACTGTGTTTCCCCCAAAATAAGACCTACCCAAAAAATAAGCCCTAGCAGGTTTTCTATGCATTTGTTAAATATAAGCCCTACCCTGATAATAAGACCTAGTGAAGGGCATGGCTATGCAGCATATCTGCATGGCCACACCATGCATTTCAGCACGGAGCGGTAAGGAAGACTGGAATACCTTTTATCTGCCACAGCTCCTTTCTCCCAGCTGTTCACACTTGCACAGGTGCACATGTGGTAACCACGGTCACAGACATCCTATTGCGCACGTGCGAACCACTAGGAGAAAGGAGTTCGTGCATCACTAGCGCCAGCCCCACCAACAAGGTCGGCTCTCCCTGTCAGGTTCCAGAAGAGGATGACTTAACTGTATTTGAATAAATGTAGATTGTTGTATTATACTTAATAAAAATAAGACATCCCCTGAAAATAAGCCCTAGTGTGTCTTCTTGTGAAAAAATAAATATAAGACAGTGTCCTATTTTGGGGGAAACAGGTAGAACATGATTGGTTTTTAAGAAGACCTAATGATGTCTAAAGAGAGGTGAGTGAGGCTTATCCATGGGAGGAAAGGTCTGTGCAGGAAGGAGAGAAGTGAATGGTTGTGAGAGCAGTTATTTCCTGAGAACAGCTCAAAGCTAAGGGTAGGAATTGAATTTAATGGCCTCTGACATTTTACTTTGTTCTATTACAGTGAGAAGAATTTCTTTCAGTTCTTTTTCTTAATGCCTCCTAAATTCTCTAAGCCTAAAACCTCTGTTGTTTCTTCCTAGGGCGGCTCCGTTCTGGCCTGACTTCTTGCCCTTGCCTTAGTCTTGGTTTCAGGTTCTAAAGCAGGATTCCTGTGCTGACTAGGAAGTGGACCCAGCCTGAGGATGAAATGCCAGCACCTTCCCCAGCTGTGCTTGCTGCTCTCCCCTGGTCTGCTGCCCCGCCCCCCCACCTGCTCCCTGTGTTTTTGTCCTACTAATCTAGGTACCTGAGTGTTTCCACAGTGTGCTCCACAGGCTTGGCTCCCTGTCTCGCCTTTACACATGCTGTTCCCTAGGGATGCCTTCTTTCATTTCCTCACCTGGGCCACTCATCTTTGTCCTAGATCTCAGCCCAGCCCACATATTCTCAAGCACTTTTGTGAGCCCCCACCAATCTGAGTTAGATTCCCAGTGTGTGTTTCTACAGCCTTCTGCCCTTCACCCAGATTGTCATCAGTTCTCATCTTGTTTTTCTCCCCCATTAGCCTGGGGGAGCTCCATGAGGGCAAGGATTCTGCTCTCATCTCTGAACCCCAGAAACTGAGGCAACACCTGGGACATAGTAGGTGAACAAACAAACATGTGACTGCCAATCAAACTATAGGATGAATGAATGAGTGAGGGAATGAGCAGGAAATAAGTTTTAAGTTCTAAGTTAATTTCTAAGAACTTTGTGTATAACATTTTAACTTCTTTCTGTTTTCTTATTTCCTAGCACAGCTGAAGGTTTAACAAGAAAAAATATGTCAGATGTCAGTGGGTGGCAAACATTTTTACAAGCCCTTGACTACTTCCTCAAAATGTTCTTTGGCTCAGCAGCGCTCGGCACTCTCACTGGCTTAATTTCTGCATTAATATCCTTTTCATGTGATGAACTTGCAGGGCTGAGGGGATTACTCTCCATTATATCCATCCCTAGCCAGTTTCTCCTGTTCCTTGGTGGGGCCAATTTTGGACTACGGTTTTGTTCAAAGGAGCATTTCTGTGCTTAGTTTTGGTGTAAATTCAGTTTTTAAGTTTAACGTGAAATTTAGGATGTCACTTTTCAAAGCATGAAAACCTAAACACAGTGGGATGTCAGAAATGGTTTGGGGGCTTCTCAGTTCCCGGAGTATGCTAGCCACCTTCGATGATTTTCATTTTCCACTGTCTCACTTTTCTTTTTTTACTCAGCATCCAGTTTCCCTTATTACAGTATTCAGATATGACACATTCGTTACAGTTAATGAACTCTTACCTCTATACGATCACTAACCAAAGCCTACAGTTTATTTACTTTTTTGACACAGAGGTATTGCTTTGTCTCACTTTTCATATTCAGAAAATTGGAAATTAATTTTCTTTGAAAATGTCAAATTGAGAAAATCTTTACCCCACTGAAAGTGTTTATCTGGAAGGATTAGAAAAGGGATTTTGAAAGCGTGCGTCATCTAAGTTATTTGCACTGATTTTGTTGTTTAACAACTCAGAAGCTTTCCAGCCAAAGAAGGAAAGAGGCTTGTTAAAGCCAGTGGCACCTTTATTGCCACAGAAAACGCATTATGTTTAAAATAGAAACAGACACCAGACCATTTGTGTGCGCCTAAGCCTACGTCTCAGGGAGATGGCCACCTGGCCCTCCTCCACGAGCAGTTTGTTTCACAGATGGCCAGAAAAGACTCTTTTGCCTGGTTAAAAGTGTGTTTTTCTGCCATCTTGTTGAATTTTCCCATCAACTCCTTTGTCCAGATTCTAAAGGCTCTATTGAGTTGGCTGACATCTTCTCATATTGTACAAATAAGCAGAATGGAAAAGAACACTTTTCCCAGTTCACTGATTTCCTCTGTATTTATCTGTTTTTCTTTTTTTCTTCAAGATATGGAGTCCTGGCTTGGCGCCTGAAGCTCAGTGAGTAGGGCACCAACCAGGCCTACTAAACAACAATGACAACTACAAGCAAAAAATAGCTGGGCATTGTGGCAGGAGCCTGTAGTCCCAGCTACTCGGAAGTCTCACTTTATTGCCCTTGGTAGAGTACTGTGGCGTCACACTGCTCACAGCAACCTCCAACTCCTGGGCTTAGGCAATTCTCTTGCCTCAGCCTCCCGAGTAGCTGGGACTACAGGCTCCCACCACAAAACCCAGCTATTTTTTTTGTTGCAGTTTGGCTGGGGCCGGGTTTGAACCTGCTGCCCTCAGGATATGGGGCCAGTGCCCTACTCACTGAGCCACAGGCACTACCCAGATTCTCTTTCTTTTAACAGCAGTCTCCCTACAAAGAAAAAGTTCCATTATGTCAACTTTCCAGTTTTGATCTTGGGATATTCCAACATTTTTTTGTATCTGTTGTTTATATATATGGAAGGCAGCAGTTTTTGTTGTTATTGTTGTTTTTTAAAATGCAGTCTTGCCACATTGCCCAGGCTAGCCTTGGAACTCCTGGGCTTAAGTGATCCTCCTGCCTCAGCTTCCCGAATAGCTTGGCTGACAGGTGCATGCTAGCAGGCCCAGCAGGCTGCGGTTTTGTGACTTCAACTATTCCCTGATTCTTTTTCCTTGATGCCGTCATTTACGTGTTAAAGCATATTGACTTGAGGAAAACACCTTCCCTGGAGTTTGGCATGATGATCATTTTTGCTTATCTGCCTTACGGGCTCGCGGAAGGAATCTCACTCTCGGGTAAGTGACAAAGGGTCTAGAATTGCTGTGATGATGGCATATTGTCCTGCCTGGTAAAAAAGGTTGTTAGTTACATCACTTTCAGTCCTAAGAGACAGTCACCAACCCAGAAGAGCTTAAAATATAACAGGGATTTGTTGACTCCCTAGGGATAAATCTGGATTTAGGCCTAGCTAGATCCAGAAGCTAGTCACATTGGTATCATGGTCATATTTTCTCTCTTTTTTTTTTTCCAGTTTTGGCCGGGGCTGGGCTTGAACCCACCACCTCCAGTATATGGGGCCGGTGCCCTACTCCTTTAAGCCACAGGCACTGCCGTGATCACATTTTCCCTTTACCTACTTTCTCTCATTTATCTACCATTATTCTTATGAGGCTCCATCATAAATATGTAGCCAGTGGGAGGAGGTTCCTGTTTTACTGATGAGAAAATGGAGGTTGAGAGGGATTAAATAAATTGCCCAAGATCACAGCTGAATTGATGAAGCAGCCATTAAAACGAATTGTCTTTGACTCAAGAAATAATGCTTAGAACCCCCTCCTCTAATGCACCTCCCTCCAAAACAGATGATATAAAACCATGTACTAAGTGCTACACAGAGGGATGAGCATAGTGTAGCCGTGGCATGATGTATGAGCAGGGTTTACTGGGTACACTTTACCTATATTCAGATTGTTCATGCTCCCATCACTCCAGTGGGGTAGGTACTAAGAGGTTAAGTCAGTAGCTCAAGGCTGCACAGGTAGTTAAGTGGCTGCAGTGAGATTCAAACCCAGCCCGTTCAGCCTCAGAGCCTCCTCCCTGTACCCCAGTGGAGGAGGGCATGCAGGTCCCAGCAGCAGACAGGGTCTGGAAGATGGGCTAGCCCAGTCACAGAATAGCAGTTCTTAGAGCGCTCACTTCCTTTAAATCAATCAGTAGGTTCTGTGTGAGGCTTGACTTAGTTGGTTTTTCTGCCTCCAAGTTGAGCGTATGTCCCTAGTTTGTTAAATGTAAGGATGTTGACTTAGAAATGGAGGTCATGTACCAGGGAGCATGACTCACCCCTGCACCTGTGTGAGGGGTGTAGCTGCATGAGAAGGGCTCTGCTCCCAACAGTCCAACCCCGTCCTTTGAATGAAGGCTCGTCAGAGACTTGTTCTGGAAACCAGGCACATTGTGGAGGATATTTTGATCTCTGCCCACAGAATGATTTTTCTTTTTTTATTAGCTTTGTTGCAGTATAATTTACATACAATAAATGCCTCTATTCCAAATGTTTTCACAAATACAATACAGTCAGGCTGGGCGAAGTGGCTCATGCCTATAATCCTAGCACTCTGGGAGGCCGAAGTGGGTGGATTGCTTGAGCTTGCAGGTTCAGAGACCAGCCTGTGCCAGAGACCCTGTGTCTAAAAATAGCCCGGTGTTGTGGCAGGCTCCTGTAGTCCCAGCTCCTTGGGAGTCTACTTGGGAGTCTGAGGCAAAAGAATCACTTGAGCTTAAGAGTTGGAGGTTGCTGTGAGCTATGATGCCATGGCACTTTACCAAGGGGGACTTTTTTTTTTACAAGAAAAAAAGTTTAGACATCCTGATAGGTGTATAACAGTTGGATTCAATGGACCTTGGTCTGGTTCTCTTTATATTCTATTTGGGGTTCTTCTTGCATTTATGTGAGTTTATACTTTCTGTCAAATTTAGTAAATTCTTCCCTCTTTAAGCAGTTTTTTCTGTCTCCTCTCTCGTTCCTGGAGACACTCTAGTTAATCCAGTTATGACAATTGTGCTATTGGCCCACAATATGCTTTGTTCCCTTTTTCAGTCTTTCTACCCATATGCTTTATTTTGGTCAATTTCTACTGCTGGGTCTTCAAGGCCACTGATCTTTTATTCTGCTGTGTGGAATCTCCTGTTAATCCCATCAATTTTACTTCGCATTTTAGATACTTGTGTAATTCATCTAAAGTTCCCTTTGGGTTATTTTTATATTTTTTCTCTCTCTCTCTCTTCATTATGTTCCTGTTTTCTCTATATTCTTGAGCATATGAAACATATTTATAATAGCTATTTTTTGGCTTGGCGCCTGTAGCTCAAGCGGCTAAGACACCAGTCACATACACCAGAGCTGGAGGGTTCTAATCCAGCCCAGGCCTGCCAAACAATAATGGCAACTGCAACCAAAAAATAGCCGAGTGTTGTGGTGGGCATCTGTAGTCCTAGCTACTTGGGAAGCTGAGGCAAGAGAATCGCTTAAGGCCGGGAGTTGGAGGTTGCTGTGAGCTTTGATGCCATAGCACTCTACCTAGGGCTACAGCTTGAGGCTCTGTCTCAAAAAAGGAAAAAAACAAACAAACAAACAATTTTCATGTTCTCCTTAGCTGATTCCTTCATCTCTGTCAATTCCAGGTCTGATTTATCAAGTTTTTTTCTGCCCATAGATCACATTTTCCTGCTCTTTGCTATTAATTTCCTATTGGACTCTAGTCATTGTGAACTTTATGTTGTTAAACACCAGATTTCATTATATTCCTTTATAGTGTTCTAGACTTTCCTTCTGTCATGTATCTCATTCTCTTAGAATCAGTTCAGACCTTTTTTGAGGCTTAGTTATAGTTAAATTCAGGGCAGGCCCAGAGTAGCAGTGCTCTAATTTAGGCAATGCCCTGCTGAGGCCTCTACCTCACACTTGACGTACTATGAGGTCATTGCACTCTGGACGATGGGAACGCAAACTGTTCCACATTGTGTCAGCTTTGGGAATTGTTCGGCTTCTTTTTAGTGGTTCTTTCCCCAGTCTCTTGGAATTTTATCCCACACATGTGCAGACAGTCCATGTCAGCCAAAGATTTGCAGGGGCTTTATTGTGGATCACCTGAGCTCTTTTTCTGTATAGTTGTCTCACTCTGAGCTTTGTCTCCTCATCTCAGCAAGACAGACCAGTCGGTGAAAAGTGGCTACCATGTTTGTTTCCCTTCTGGCTAGAATCACAGTCCTGTGCTGCCTTTTATCCAGTGTCAGAAAACAGTTTTGTTTCATCTCTTGTATCAGATTTTCTCGTTATTTATATCAGGACAGTGATTTGTGTAGCAACTCTTTTTTCATGGGCAAAGTGGAAATCATGGGTAGAGTGCCCTGGCATCATAGCTCATAGCAACCTCAAACTCGAGCTCAAGCTATTCTCTTGCCTCAGCCTCCCCAGTAGCTGGGACTACAGGTACCTGCCACAACACCCAGCTAGTCTTTTCTATTTTTAGTAGAGGGGGGGCTCAGTCTTGCTCAGTCTGGTCTTGAACTCCTGAGCTCAGGCAGTCCACCTGCCTCAGCCTCCAGAGTGCTGGGGCTACAAGCATGAGCCACCGTACCCAGCCTCTTCGGGGGGTTTTAATGATTTGGATGAACAGAATTCTCCTTCCCATAGCTTACTAGCTGGAGTCACACATGGGTACTTTGTGAGCAGATCTTGCTAAGGAGGAAGCAGAAAGGACTCTGGCCTCCTTAGAGAACTCTTTGTAAACCTGGAGTAGGAGGGTGTTTTGTTTTGTTTTATTTTTCTTGGAGAAGAGGTTTACTGTGTTGCCCAGGTTAGACTCAAATTCCTGAGCTCAAGCATTCCTCCCAGTTTAGCCCCGTGAGTCCTGGGACTCAGGTAGGCCACCAAGCCAAGCTTGGTTTTGTTTGTTTTTAATCCCAAACCAGTTTTCCAGGATAATTTTATCCAGGTATCTACCATAAGGTTCCCTCCCTTATCTTTACTGAACGTTGGCACTTACGTAAACATTGCCTGTGAGTCATTCAGCTGCAGTGTAGCTATTTTTATTTCTGTTTTTCTAAATTGTTCCTCTACCCCCTTTGAGATTATCACTGAGTACCTATTGGCAAAGATGTATTTTATCCATCTGAAATTTCTGATTAAACCAAGAGAGTGTTTTTCTGATCATTTGTTCAGATAGGCAGTGTTTTCTGTTTATAGGGATTTTATTTCCTTAGGGACCTTGGTCCACACACTGAGGAGGCCAAACAAGGCAATGCAGGCTAGAAACAGGCCACCTGCCTCTGGATGAGGAGACTGGCTCTGTCTACACTTTGCCTTTAGGTTGGGGTGTCCAACCTACCCTCCGCTAGCCACATGCTGATTTTATGAGGACTTTTTTTTGTTCATCTGTGGTGTCAGAAAGTATATACACAGACCTTTTTTTGTGCTAATCAGCTTTCATTAGTGTTTGTATATTTAATGTGTGGCCTAAGACAACTCTTATTCTTCTAATAAAAGGTTGGACACCACTGTGTAGGGTACTGTGTATACAGTAAGCTGAGCAGTTGAAATGTCTGTAGTGCAATGCTGTGATTTTCACCCTTTTGTAAATGGAAAGTTGGCCAGGTAAGTCCTGTTTCTACAAAATGGTAGAAGTGAGTTAAAATTTTGTTATAAAGTTTGGCTTACAATTAGTATATTTTGGCTGCTTATTTGATGGCTTTTTAAAAATATCAAATTCCTGGCTCGGCGCCTGTGGCTCAACTGGCTAAGGTGCCAGCCATGTACACCTAAGGTGGCGGGTTCGAATCCCCAGCCCGGACCCGCCAAACAACAATGACGGCTGCAACCAAAATATAGCCGGGCGTTGTGGCGGGCGCCTGTGGTCCCAGCTACTTGGGAGGCGGAGGCAGGAGACTCGCTTGAGCCCAGGAGTTGGAGGTTGCTGTGAGCTGTAATGTCACGGCACTCTACCCAGGGGGACAGCTTGAGGCTCTGTCTCAAAAAAAAAAAAAAAAAATATCAAATTCCTGACATGAAAGAGAGACTTGCCTAGCTAGACAGGGATTTACTAAGAAGAAACCTATATAAAGTGACTTCAGGGACAGAGGACAAATGTTGAGACTCAGATCCTGAGTAAGCAAAGAAGGTTTTAGCCTCTTATGGAGGGCTGAAGAAAAGACACATTGCCTTTTTAAATAATTTCTTTGTAGTATAACAGTAATACATAAAAATTATGGGAAAGTTCAAAATTAAGGAAAAGTATTTAAAAAGTTGATCAGGATCCATCCATTCTTTACCCCCAGATCCTTAGGCTCCCTTTCTGCCCCTTCCCCACCAGAGGCTCACCTGCACCCTTATATAGTTGTCCCTTAGCATCCATGGAGGATCAGCTCTAGAACCCCACAGGTACCACATCCATGGGTGCTCAAGTCCTTTATATGAAATGGTGCAGGGCAGTGCCTATGGCCCAGTGGGTAGGGCGCCGGCCCCATCTACGAAGGGTGGTGGGTTCAAACCCGGCCCTAGCCAAACTGCAATAAAAAATAGCCAGGCGTTATGACAAGCACCTGTAGTCCCAGCTACTCGGGAGGCTGAGGCAAGAGAATTGCCTAAGCCCAGGAGGTGGAGGTAGCTGTGAGCTGTGACGCCATGGCACTCTACCGAGGGCTACAAAGTGAGACTTGGTCTCTATTTAAAAAAAAAAAAAAATGAAATGGTGCAGTGTGGTCAGCCTTTCATATCGGCAGGTTCTGCACGGAAGTCAGCTCTGTCCCTAGATGATGATGCTCGCACTGTTTAAGCCCTGGTGCTGTGATAGGCACTTTATATGGCTTGTTTTCACTCACCCTCCTATCAGTGCTGTGAGTGGGTACTGTTAGAACAGAAGAGAAAACTCAGACTCTGGCAGCAGAAGTGACTTAGCCCAAAGTCACTCAGTTAATAATGAATCTGCTAGAGAGAAGGCTTCTCTGAAGCCTCTGGGAAGCCTCAGGTATTATTTTCTTTTACTTTTTCTTAAAGCTCCTGGTACTCTAGGCTCCAGGGACTCCTAGGAAGTGTGAGATCTGATTTGGGTTTCACGTGGAGGTGCTTCTCTGTTGATGTCTATGCACTTTGACCCTCCCTCCCTCTCTAGGCATCATGGCCATCTTGTTCTCAGGCATCGTGATGTCACACTACACCCACCACAACCTCTCCCCAGTCACCCAGATCCTCATGCAGCAAACACTTCGGACCGTGGCCTTCTTGTGCGGTAAGTTCTGCTTCTGCAGCCGTGTGCAGCCTACCCGGAGCTAATCCTCTTCCCTTTCCACATTTTAGGAGGTAGTTGAAATTTTCCCTGGCAGCAGGGCAATAGTTCTCAGAGCCAGATACTGTGCTCCTGTTTCTTGTATTTGTTCCTCTGGCTTTGAAATTTTATAAAGTAAACCAAACACCTAATGAATGGAACATTTGATGCCTACAATCTTAAGACCTAAAATTATGAGAACTACTAATTATGCATGTTTAGGATATGTACTTTTAATAAAGTGACATTACTAAAAATGTAGCCCTTGGAAATGCTAATGACAGTTAGATGAAAAAGGCTCCATAATAAAAAAAGAGGTTAGGATGTCCTGGCTTAAATAACATATACCAAGTTTTTGAACAGGAAGACTTTTCAGCTAGTTTGCATTGTAAATATCTAAGTGGAGAATCTAGTTATAGCCTTTCCCAGACTTGTCTGTAGAGCCCTGTGTTCACAAGAGCATCCTGAAGGGCATAAGTTGGGGAGATTCTGCAGTGGAGATTCATTTGTGTGTGTGTGTGTGTGTTTCACTATGTCGCCCTCAGTATAGCTCACAGCTCACAGCAACCTCAAACTCTTGGGCTTAAATGATTCTCTTGCCTCAGCCTCCCAAATAGCTGGGACAGGAGATGTCATTTGTTAAGCTGGGATAGACCATGGTGCCTTTTTCTTTTTTCTTTAGAGACAGGGTATCCCTTTGTTGCCTAGGATGGTCTCCAACTCCTGGGCTCCTGGGATCCTCCCACCTCAGCCTCTTGAGTAGGTGGAACCGTAAGCCTGAGCACCATACCCAGCTCACTTTCTTTTAAGCAGTTTCTTTTTTTTTTTTCTGAGACAGACTTTCACTTTGTCACCCCCGATGGAGTACTGTGGCATCATACCTCACAGCAACCTCAAACTCTTGGGCTCAAGCAATTCTTTTTGCCTCAGCCTCCCAAGTAGCTGGAACTACAGGTGCCCGCCACAATGCCCGGCTGTTTTTAGAGACAGGGGTCTCTCTCTGGCTCAGGTTGATCTCGAACCCACATAGGCACTCCACTTGCCTCCAGCCTCCCAGAATTCTAGGATTACAGGCATGAACTACCAACCGCACCTGGCCCTTTTAAGCAATTTTGATTTGAGCTCTTGTTCATCCCAGGTTCAAACATACCTGTTTGTCCTCCCTACCCCCACTTTTTACCTGGGAATAAAGGAACACTCTTACTCTGTCCCTTTAAGCAACTCCCAAGAGGCTGAGCCTAAGCTGTGGTTTGGGGGTAGAAGGTTTGTCATTTTGTTTGTTGTTTGCTTTCTTCTTCTTCTTCTTCTTTTTTTTGAAACAGAGTCTCGCTGTGTTGCCCTCAGTAGAGTGCTGTGGCATCACATCTCACAGCAATCTCTAACTGTTGGGCTTAAGCAATTCTTTTGCCTCAGCCTCCCAAGTAGCTGGGACTACAGGCCCCTGCCACAATGCCCGGCTTTTTTTTTTTTTTTTTTTTTTTGCAGTTTTTGGCCAGGGCTGGGTTTGAACCTGCCACCTCTGGCATATGGAGGTGGTACCCTACTCCTTTGAGCCGTAGGCGCTGCCCTCACCCAGCTATTTTTTTGTTGCAGTTATCATTGTTGTTTAGCTGGCTTGGGTTGGGTTCAAACCTGCCAGCCACAGTGTATGTAGCTAGCGCTGTAACCACTGTGCTATGGGCGCTGAGCCTGTTTTTTGCTTTCTTAAAAAATTGAGACAGGGTCTCACTCTGTTGCCTAAACTGGAGGGCAGAGGTGTCATCATAGCTCACTGCAACCTCAAACTCCTGGGCTCAAGTGATCGATCCTCTTGCTTAGCCTTCCGAGTAGCTGGGATTACAGGTGCACACACTGGGATTATTTTTTTTTTTTTGCCCATAATTAAAACTTTATTGGAAAACTGATATCAAAATAGGAGATCACTGTTATATACTTTACAAAATCAGATATAATTTTCTTGGCAGATTATTAAAATTACTGACCTTATTGAGGCTTTCTGTGAGATAATACAAATTCAGGAAGTTGTGTAGATTGTGCAAGTTGCTTTCTTCTAAATGAACACTGTCTGTGGCCTTTCCTCCTATCTGCTGCCACACTGCTGAACAACCCACACAAAGAACCACTGTCAAAGCATGGCGGACGCCTGCGGTCTTATAGCAACCTGGACATTTTACATCCATAAAATAAGACTTTAGACTTGAACTAGCCATTTCTTTTTATGTTTTTTCTTTTCCTCTTCCAAGGATGGATATAGTAGATCTCTAGCCAATGGCATCTTGACCCTTTCATAAGGCCAGCTCATCCAGATCTCTCAGATGACACTCCCAGCTAGCAGCACACAATCGGGCGCTTGGCATCACCTTCCAGGATAGATGCTAATTTTTCTCTTTTAATTTTTTTGTAGAAATTATGTCTCATTGTGTTGCCCAGGCTAGTCAGAAACTCCTGGGCTCACGTGATCCCAAAGCACTAAAATTACAGGTGTGAGCCACAGCACCCAGCCGGGCTTGTCATTTTGAAATGCTGGTTTCATACCGTTCCACACTTGGAGGCAAGGGCAGGCCATGCGGAGACTAACATGAAGAAGGAGGCTCCCATGAGGAGTGGTCAGGTGACATGCCTATGGTCTCATGGCCAACAAGCAGGTCTGGAAGGCAGGTCTCTTTATTCCTGGACCAGTAGGTAATTTTTCCATAGCAACTTTCTCTGAAGTCCAGGGCTATAGATTCTGACCCTGACCCTCCCAATTAAAGGAATATAAAGCAAACTTCCATCAAATTCTATTTTTACCCATTAGATAGACAAATTTTTTTTTTTTTTTTTTTTTTTTTTTTGAGACAGAGCCTCAAGCTGTCCCCCTGGGTAGAGTGCCGTGGCATTACAGCTCACAGCAACCTCCAACTCCTGGGCTCAAGCGAGTCTCCTGCCTCCGCCTCCCAAGTAGCTGGGACTACAGGCGCCCGCCACAACGCCCGGCTATTTTTTGGTTGCAGCCGTCATTGTTGTTTGGCGGGTCCGGGCTGGGGATTCGAACCCACCACCTTAGGTGTACGTGGCTGGCGCCTTAGCCAGTTGAGCTATAGGCGCTGAGCCAGATAGACAAATTTTAAGTTGGATAATACCTACTTCTGGCTTGAGTGTGTAGAAAACAGGCCCTGTGGATGGGCTTGTACTTTGCTGCTGGCTTTTTTAGAGAGTCATTTGCAGCACCTCTCTAAATTTAAAAGGCACAAGCTCTTTGGCCCAACAATTCAACCATCTGGAATTTAGCTTATGAACTAGAGTGTTTATTGTAACTATCAGAAATAGAAACAGTTTAAATATCTGTCCACAGAGGATTGGCTAGATTAACCATGATATATGCATTTACTAGAATTTATGCTGCCAGGGAAAAGCATAAAGTAGATCTGAATGTGTTCTAACTGTGCTGAATGGAAAGATCACAAAATATTGAATAGGTAAGAAAAAATTTTGGGAGAAGAAGGGTGAGTTATCTAGCATGTGGACTTGTTTTAAGCGGATACATGTTTGAAGAAAAAACATCGCTGAAATGTTTCAGAACAGCTTCACTGTTTTGTGATGTTCAATTATTTTAAAATATAGTCTTTGTCTCTCCAACTGTTAGGCTGTTCTGCAGGACGTCACAGGTTAAGCAGGGAACTTGGTGTTAGAAATAAGTGCTTTTCTTTAAAATGAACAAGTTTATACAACAGAGAGTAAAAGTTGGGCTTTTCTTGGTTTGCAGAATAAAGCAAAATTGGAAATGTATCTTGTTCTGCAAATCCTGCTGGATATAAGCCACGTTTTAAACCTTGTGGTAGCAGTAAATCTGTTAAGTCAATCATTTGGCCTTGTCTGCTCTGGCAAGAAAGTTAACAAAGGGCCTTTCACTTTCACACTTGTCACGTGGGTTCTACAGTCATTGGCTCTGAATTTTTGCCCTTTGCCGCTATTGGGATCCTAGCTAATGATAGTGTTCAGCAAATGGACAGATTTATGTTTTTATCATCATCTTCTTGTGGGATAGTGTTTAACAGTTAACTCATTACATTAGAAGACTTCTAGACAGCAAGGACATGTGGCTTGTGTGATAGAAAAGAACGAGAGAGAATCTAAGTACCAGTTTGACCAAGATATTGGTAGCAGGATATTCCAGAAAATAAGTGAAGTATTATATTGGATTCTGACTTAATATTTGGTTGCTTAATACTATATTGGAAGAAAATAGTTGGGGCTAAATAACTCATTCTTTGGTTTGTTTCAGAAACATGTGTGTTTGCATTTCTTGGCCTGTCCATTTTTAGTTTCCCTCACAAGTTTGAAATTTCCTTTGTCATCTGGTGCATAGTAAGTATTTTCCTTGTTTTTTTTTTATTTAATTACTTATCTGTAGATTAATAACCATATGTTATGGATTCATGTATGTAACTGTTAACAGTTCAAAGTCAACAGCTACATAAACATTCTTCTGTTTAAAGTTTCTTTTGTTAAAAAATCATAAACCAGCTCGGTGCCTGTAGCTCATGGGCTAGGGTGCTGACCATGTACACCAGGGCTGGCGGGTTCAAAGCCAGCCTGGGCCTGCCAAACAACAATGACAGCTACAACAAAAAAATAGCCAGGTGTTGTGGTGGGTGCTTGTAGTCCCAGCTACTTGGGAGGATTTAAATTTAGCAAGATAGTACCTATAAAATGCTTAGCACATTGTCTGGCATAGAAACGTTTGATGATTGCAGCAGTTATTACTAACTTGAATGTCCAGAGATACCACCCAGAGCACTCCATGCCTGTTAAAAGAATAAATGTAAACCTAAAGAATGTGTTGTGCATGTGGACATCACCCTTTTCAACTTAGTTATGGTCAGAACTAAGATGAAGAAAATGAAAATAATAGATACTTGTAAGAATCCACTCAGATAAGATGTAAATGTTATCTAAAGGTAAATTTTGTTCAGACTAACACTCATGCCTTGAGATGGTTAGGAACCAAAAGCCATGATGACAGCTGCTCGGCCGGCCTCCTGTAGACCCCCGAGTTCCTGTTTTGGCAAGGCCCTATGTAACCTGCCATCCTTTCCCTGAGGAGCAGGGCAGCCACAGGAGTGGTGGAAACACCTTGCCTGTCCCTGCAGAGCTAGCCTGGTGGGAATGATTAGCACAGACCTGTCCCACAGTGGGGCACCTCCAGAGTCAGGTTGCCCTTAAATTAATCTCTGGATGCTTCTGCATGGCCTTTTGGCATTCAGTTTTGTTCTGTCATTACTAAAGCCCTCGTTGATGCCTCCCTAGTCCTCCCTTTTCCGATTACTAAAGTGTAACATACAGAATTTCATCCTCAGTGCCAGTAGCCCAGCCATAACACCAGGTCTCTGCCAAGCGCTCAGGTACTCATTTCTTATGCCTGAGGGGAATGCCACATTTACAATGGGTGTGTCACTGCGTCTGCATTAGGTTCGACAAGCTAATTTCACCAGCAGTGCCAATAGCCCAGCCACAACACCAGGTCTCTGCCAAGCACTGAGGCACTCATTACTTATGCCTGAGAGGAATGCCACATTTACAATGGGTGTGTCACTGGGTCTGCATTAGCTTCGGCGAGCTGCAGTTTGAAGAACAGACGTTTCCACCTAAGACGTAGTTTGTTGCTGTTAACAGGTGCTTGTACTATTTGGCAGAGCGGTAAACATTTTCCCTCTTTCCTACCTCCTGAATTTCTTCCGTGATCATAAAATCACACCGAAGATGATGTTCATCATGTGGTTTAGTGGTAAGTCAAATCTCGAATAGACAGGTGAGAAAATGCCTTTTATAAAGGTGCACACCAGGCAGAGAGATCATGTGGGTATCTGCTAGAGCCCTTTGAAAACTTATTTGCCTCATGAGCCAAAAATAATAAAATCTCCCACTTAACAGGCGCTCCTTGTCATCAAGATGGTGCCCCTCTCCACAGTGGCATGACGTGGGCGAAGCTGAGGTTTCAAGGGGCAAAGGACATGCTTAGGATCACGTGACCATTGGAGGGAGGGCGGATTCGCCCTTCCTTCTGGTCACACTTTCCATGGCAGGACAGTGCTGGCCGGGGCAAGCTGTGTGTGGCTCACCTCTGTGTGTGTTCTAGGTTGAAGTAATAGGGGGCTCAAAACTAAAAGGGTGAAAGTTGAAACATTTTGCACTACATGTTTGTTCTGGATGTTCTCCTCCTTAGTCACAAAGTTCTTGTAGGTTAATCTGAATGTTTCAGCCACTATTCAGTCACTTTTTCAAGGATGGAAATGACTTCATCAATCTTTGGCTCAAATTTATTCTTGAGCAATACAGATAGTTCTTTATGCTTTCTTGTTTAAATATAATTAAAATATTTTCTGTGTAGGTTAGGTTATAGGAATATGCTTTATAATGTTCTCTATCCAACAGCATGTCTGTAAATCACTCTCAGATTTCTCTTCTTTCAAAAGACCATGTTTAAAAATGTATGTATTGGGGCTGTGTCCATACCTCAGTGGGTAGGACACCAGCCACATACACCCAGGCTGGCAGGTTTCAACCTGGCCCGGGCCAGCTAAACACAATGACAACTGCAACAACAACAGCAAAAAAGCCAGGTGTTGTGGTGGGCGCATATAGTCCCAGCTACTTGGAGACTGAGGCAAGAGAATCACTTGAGTCCAAGAGTTTGAAGTTGCTGTGAGCTATAATGCCAACCCCAGGGCACTCTATCAAGGGCAACATAGTGAGACTCTGTCTCCAAAAAAAAACACCAAAAAAGAAAAATGTATGTGTTTAAAATGTGTGTGTATGTGTGTATGCAGAATGAGAGACACTCATTATTTTAAATCATTTTACCAGTGAGGCAAACTACTATACAAAGTAGTTGATCCAAGGTCTTGAAAATCTAAGAAAGGTATCAGACATTTTGTAAAGTTATGTGAGCTATTTGAGAGACAGGGCACAATGCTAGGCTTTTATGGGGTCCATGGGGATGTAAAGAGTCAGGGCCATTGCCCGCCCCGTGTGGGTTTCCATCCTGTCCTTCGGTCCTCGACCTTTGTCTCTACTGCCAGCTCCTCCCATCATCATTAAACAGAGATTAGAGATTCTCTTTCGCAGCAAAACACACAAAGCTTCAATCCAAATCCCAGCTCCACATCCCCTCCATCTCTTCTGTGCGTCCTTCTGTCATGGCCGGACCTCTTTGAGTCGTCCGTCTTCACTTATTCTCCCTTCTTCACCTCTAGCCCACTAGGCTGGAACTGGCCTTGCCCAGTCATCAGAGACCTGCAGCCAGACCTGAAGGGTGTGTCTGCCCTGATCCCAGCCATCTCCTTTCCACCACAGCCACCTTCAGACCACAGACCTTCACCCCTCCCCCGGCCTCCAGGCCATACCGCCGGTTTCCCTTCTTTCCCTCTGGGGGTTACTCAGGCTCCCATGTGACTCTTCCTCCTCTTCCTCTTTTACTGACCCCTCAACTGGTGGCTTCCTGCAGACCCAGCCCCAGCCCCATTTCTGTACCTGTGTTCCACACTTCACAGAGTGAACTCAGCTGTCCTCTGGCCTTGACTTCCGTTTAGTTCCCTCAGTCCCAACAAACTCCGCTGTGGATGTGGTGGAGACATCATAAGTTCATCATCTGAGATACACCCCCTGCTCCAGCAGATACTGATGGGAATATGTCGCAGGCAGGGCTGCCTTGACAAAGCGTTTGCTGGGGCACACTGTGCCTAAGCACAGTACATGAGCCAAGTCACTTAATCCTCTAGCCCTTGTGAGAGGTTTGGAGACGTTGAGTTGTCACTCACCGTGTCCCTCTGAATTCCATCCCCTTCGCTTTCCCTACTATCTCCCCATCCTGGGTCCTGCTGTGCTTCAGCCTCAATGTCAGGCTCAGGTCCTGGTGCTGTCAGCACTGCCCTGCCCTGCCCTGCCCCTCCCTTTTCTCTCTGGCACCATCACATAAATTTTTTTTTTAAAACAGTTTTATTTTGTTGCCCTCAGTAGAGTGCTGTGGCATCACAGCTCACGCCAGTCTCAAACTCTTGGGCTTAAAAGATTCTCTTGCCTCAGCCTCCCAAGTAGCTGGGACTATAGGCAGCCACCACAACGCCTGGCTGTTTTTTTGTTGCAGTTGTCATTTACCTGGCCCACCAGCCTCAGTGTATGTGGCTGATGCCCCAACCACTATGCTATGGGCATCAAGCCCTCATCACCTAAGTTCTTGTTTGCTCACTCTCCTCTGAGCTGCTTGGGGAGCTCCTAAAGCCAGGGCCAGGACTACCTGTCCCCTTCATATGACACCAGGGAAACCAGAATTTTTCTAACAGAGGACAAGTCTATTTCCCAGTTTGGTCTGTGCCCCTCAGTCATGTCCTAGCCACATCTTAGCACCACCAGAGCAGCCTGGTGGCACCACCCTCTCAGTACTACCAGGGGACCGCAAAGGGGTAGCACCTTCAGATACAGGGGCGGGGAACAGACTACACCCTGTGCTGTTGGCTGTGTCAGCTGTGGTAGCTGACACAGCTAGAAGATGGTAGCAGCTGCCTTGCAGGCCTTCCTGTGAAGGTGCAGTGAGGCTATGCATGCCTAGGCCTCAGCACAGGGCCTAACACACACACAGGGAGAACTGGGCCCACAGCAATTGTCATGTGATTCCTTAGACACAGTGTCAGGCTTGATAACCACCCTCACAAACACACCCACTCCTGCAGCTTTGCAGCCAAGACAGACCATCTCAACTGATGTGCTCAGCGGGGCATAGAGTTGTGTCTACCTGCTCCCCACTCCTGCAGCCAATCTGCTCATCCCCAGAGCCTCACAGAATACCCGCCCAGTCTGCCTGGAGGACCTAGCCCGTGAAGGCACTGCCTCCTCCCTGTCTCTCCTTACTCCCTTACTGTCCCCAGGCCTTCGAGGGGCCATCCCCTATGCCCTGAGCCTGCACCTGGACCTGGAGCCCATGGAGAAGCGGCAGCTCATTGGCACCACCACCATCATCATTGTGCTCTTTACCATCCTGCTACTGGGCGGCAGCACCATGCCCCTCATCCGCCTCATAGACATTGAGGACGCCAAGGCACGCCGCAGGAACAAGAAGGACGTCAACCTCAGCAAGACAGAGAAGATGGTTAGTGCTGGGTACAGGGATGGGGAGGCAGAGGGCTGGTCCCTACACCTCCACATGCACATACACTATGCACACACTAGCTGCCTAAACTGAGGAGGTGACAGAACTTGAGCTCTAAAGCACAGCTCCTCAGGGTAGTAGGGGTGTCTGCCAGCCTTGTGACCTGCTGAAGCCATAGAGGCTGTGGGCTGGCACCATTTACTCTCCTCTCTAAAGCTTCCTGGGGTGCTGGGGAGCCTGGGCCTATATCAGACTCTCCTACCTCTGCCCTGCCAGTAGCTAATCAGAGCAGGGATTGGGAGGTGTCAAAATCCCATCACACTCCCCAGTCAAAAACCACCTACTGCAGCCCTGAGGCAGGGAGTGTGGCTTACAGTGGCTTTGTGGGCCATGAGAGGGCACCTTCTGGAGAGCAGGGGAGAGCATGACATGGCCCACTCTGCCTCCTCTAGCCCCCACAGGTCCCTGTGCTAGGCCAGGCTACCAGACAGAAGCAGAGGCTGCTCTGGGCTCTTACCCCCATGCCCAAGCATTTCTAGAAATGCATTTTGCTCAGGTTGAGTTGGGTGGCTCATGCCTTTACTCTTAACACTCTGGGAGGCTGAGGCAGGAGGATTGCTTTAGATCAGGAGTTAAGGCTAGCCTGACCAAAGAGAGACCTTGTCCCTTCTAAATAGAAAAATTAGCTGGGCATTGTGGCAGGTGCCTATAGTCCCAGCTACCCAAGAGGCCGAGGCAGGAGGATTGCTAGAACCCAGGAGTTTGAGGTTTTTGTGAGCTAGGCTAAGGCAATGGCACTCTAGCCTGGGCAACAGAGTAAGACTCTGTCTTAAAAACAAACAACAACAAAAAAAAGAAATGCATCTTTTTCTAGTTCCTTTATTCAAGACCATCAGTGACTTGAGTCATGAGAGGCACAGACATCCTCATGTGGCTGCCCACTACCAATACCGAGAGTTCAAGGCTGTGCAGACCTCAGCCTCCAGCCAGTACAGTGCTGCTGGAAGGAAAGTTCTAAATGGCCTTCAGGCCTAGACCTGGCAAAACTCTTCTCACACTTACAGACCCTTCTCCCCTCACCCCTAACAGCTTTCTTGTTTGTTTTTAGCAAGAGCTCTAGCATTAGGAGTTTTTTTATTTTTATTTTTTGTTAAATGATAGCTGTGTACATTAATGCAATCATGGGGTACAGTGTGGTGTTTTCATATACAATTTGAAATATTTTCATCAAACTGGTTAACATAGACTTTATGTCAGTTTTCTTAGTTATTGTGTTAAGACGTTTATACTCTACTTTTAGAAAGATTCACTTGTACCCTTGTAAGATAAACCATAGAGGTGATCCCTCCAATCGCCCTCCCTCCACCCATCCAACCCCCTTTCCTCCCCTCCCCCCTCCCCATATTCTTGGGCTATAATTGGGTTATAGCTTTCATATGAAAACCATACATTAGTTTCGTAACAGGGCTGTGTACATTGGATACTTTTTCTTCCATTCTTGTGATACTTTGCTAAGAAGAACATTTTCCCGCGCCAAGAATAAGCATTTCTAACAAGTTGCCAGGTGCTGCCATCATGTCAATGCTGATCCTACAAACACGCTTGAGGAACCACAGCTTTAGGCAAACTAGGATGTCTCCTCAGAAGAAGAAGAGCTGTCTCTGGAATGTTTTCTGTGGCCAAGTCAGAGTGCTCCATGTTCCTTAGACTAGCTCAGATTGTCCTGATAACCTGCAGGAATCAGGTACTTTCATTAAGCCCATTTTGCAGGTGAGAATGTTGAGGCACAGAGAGAATTCATATCACACAACTGCCCTCATACAGACTCCAGACTACACTCCTCACCACCATATTCTCCACCAGTGGTCCGTGGTCCTTACAGTGGGGCCCCCAGACCAGCAGCATCTCAGAGAACCTGTTAACTTGTTGGACATGCTAATTCCTGGGCCTCACCCCAGACTTACTAGATCAGCAGCTCTGCACATGGGTCTAGCAGGCCCAGTACTTTTGCAGCTTCAGAGCCCTCCAGGTCATTCTGATGCAGGCCAGAGTTTGAGAACCTGGTTCCACAGTATCAAAATGCCCTCACTGCCCCCTTCCTTCCCTCCCCCAGTCCTTTCCCCTACCTGCACCAACACCACTGGGCCAGGAACCCAAGTGGAGGTCCACTTGACTGTGGCAGAGCAGCTTCAACTGTGGCTTCACTGAGGTTCCCTCAGCACAGTAGCAAACACCCTTCCCCTTCATTCCAGTCCTGCCTGCCTTTGATCCTCCTGGCAGAGGGTGGCAGCAATCAATGGCCTGAGCTCTCACTCTTCACGTGGAGTCCTATCCCTCTCCTGTACTCTTGACTGGCAAAAGCCACCTACTAGGTGGGGCTAGTGGGGCCACAGATGAGAGAAAAACAGAGCCCCCCTGTCCAATCTTTGGGCACAGTCCAGGACGGCAGCTCCCAGTCCTGGCTGCATGTTAAAATCACCTGAAGAGCTGAAAAACAAAGCCCCAGTTCTGTTCCAAACCTTCTGGTTTAGCTGTCCTAGTGGGGTCTCTGGCATCCTTTGTGTTCTTACAAATCTTCCTATCCCCCCATGGGCTTCCCTGTGTCACCCTACACTGATGTAGGGTAGAGTTAGGGGTGGGGACACTGGCGGCCTGGGTGGTGTGGGGGCTTCCAGGAAGAGGTGCCAACTGACAGCCATCTGGTTGCCCCTCCTCCTGCCCAGGGCAATACTATTGAGTCGGAGCATTTGTCGGAGCTTACCGAGGAGGAGTACGAAGCCCACTACATTAGGCGGCAGGATCTCAAAGGCTTCATGTGGCTGGACGCCAAGTACTTGAACCCCTTCTTCACACGGAGGCTGACACAGGAGGTGGGACATGGGCTGGCATCACATTCTGAGGGGCCCCGTGCCTTCCTTGCTCAGGACCTGCAATGGCCGAGGGAGGGTGGGGAGCAGGAAGAGTGGGAGGCAGGAAGGCTCACATGGGACCACAGGCCACCACCACCTTCACTCCTGTGGCTGGATGTGCTTGTGGAACTCAGCATCTGCTTTTTTTTCCACTGCCATATTTAGTGCTCGTTTAATAATAGACTTGTTGACACAGTTTGGTTTTCCTGGACAATAGACTCAGGACATTGATCAGCTTCTGAAACAGAGGGATTTGAGGCATTATTAGGGCCTCAAGCAGCGGCCCAGGGCTCCCAGGTCTCTCATTCCATCCCTCCAGGCCCTGTGGCTCTCTGTACGGGTGTGGGCTCCGGTCCCTGCCCTTGCTTCTGAGCCCCTCTTCTGTCATGATGGCTGGCGGGTGGCCCTCTCACTGGGGGCCAGGCACTGCACCAGATGCTTCCTTCATTCTCCAACCAGTGCAGTAGCTGCAGCTGTGTTCTCACTCGACAGCTGAGAGGACTGGGCCAGGGAGGTGAAGGTACTCCCTGAGGTCCCATAGCCAATACTAGCCAAGTGGATCTGATTCCAGAGGCCATGACTTTTAATGTTACATCACTCTGCCCCCTCCTCTATTTCTGAATGACACCTTGTTATCTCCACTCTTCAAATGAAAGTCCCAGCTTGAGTCAGTTAACACTTTGAAATTCACCTGCCTTCCATACTCCCGTGCAGCTATACACAGAACATACAGAGCAGCCTCACCTCCCTGCCTCAGCGCTGACCCTGACCCTGGCCCACTGATGAAGGCTTGGTTGTGTCTCTCGCCCTAGGACCTTCACCATGGGCGCATCCAGATGAAAACGCTCACCAACAAGTGGTACGAGGAGGTGCGCCAGGGCCCCTCTGGCTCTGAAGATGATGAGCAGGAGCTGCTGTGACAGGCACCCAAGCTTCAGGCAGGCAGGACCCAGGATGGGCATTTGCCACCCACAGACACCCAGCAGGGGCCTCCCAGAGGCACAAGCATTTGGCAGCCACCTCAGGATATAAGAGAGGATGGAGACCACAGAGACTTCTTAACCTAGAACTTTCCAGGCCTTTGGAGCCAGTTGGCTTCTGAAATGCGTGTCATCGCCCCACTCCTCACTGAGCCAGCCTCTCTGCCCTTGGTGTTGCATCTTGGCCCCCAGATTGGAGCGACCACTTGTCCCAGGTGAACACTTCCCTCTGCCTCTGCAGCCCGGCAAACAGTCACCTGTCAGGCAGGGTTCTGCCCAGTCTGCTGAGGAGCATGGGTTGGCAGTTTGTGCCATTCACAAGCCCCTGCCTTTGTCACAGCCCCTGCTGAGATGGGCCTTTGTGCTGGCAGGTAGGAGTCATCAAGGTGCCTGGAGGTAAGCAGCAGCCTTCTGACCTAAGTGGCAAGGCCCAGAAATCTTGACAACCTCACCTTCCCCTTTGCAGTAGTTCCTGCTTTCCCTGGGAAAAAAAACTGAGTGACCTTTTTTCCCTTAACCTCTCATTGGCACCTCACTGCTTGTTTCCCTGGATGGCAGGCAGCTGCTGCCCTTCTCAGGGTGTATTGTGAATGTTTACACTGGTACCCTCGAGTATCTTTTCTGAGATAGCCCCACTGGAAGGTGCAACCCAGGGTTTTGAGGGTGGAAGAGCGAGCCTATTCTGTGGGGTCAGAGCGCCCTCTAGGGCGAGAAGCTAGAGGCACAGGCAGTCTTGATTCAGAGAGCTACTAGTGCCCTCCTGCCATGTGATTGTCTCCCTGACTGTGACTCTCCCACTTGGTGGTTCTTTTATCTTTTATTTTTATATAAAGCAGGGTATCCTCCATCCTGCAAAACAGAATGAAAGCTCCTCACTGGTGGTTCTTATTTATCCAACTGAGGTCCATTTCCTGGGCTCTGCAGTGTGCAATCACTGGTTACCTGCTGCCACCTTCACTGCTAATCAGGATTCTGTTCTCTTTCCCCTCTCCCAGTTCCCTACCATGTTGCATTTCTTTTGTCACCCATGCCAAGGTATCAGCTGCCCAGAGCACTGGGGAAGGGGCCAGAGCAACAACATGTGGTTCTCCTCCCCATCCACCCCAACTTAGGACCCCAGTGGCCTGGAGCCAGGTGTGCTGGCTCAGCCACACACACACTCAGCCAGCCTGCCTTATCCCTCAACTTGGACTTCCCAGCTGTCTTGGAATGAGGAGCTGCCAATTGCTCCAAATGAAATGGGGTGACTCATTTTCTCACCTGTTCTTTAACAAGCCTAGTAACTGCTCACCTCTATCCATCTAATTCGCATGTGGCTCTGGGTCTCAGTTGGAGTCTTGGAATTCAGCACCCTTGGGTGATTTAGTCATCATTTGCATATCCTTGTTTCTCTGAGGACACAGTGGGCCTGTGTGGACCAGCAGGGACACTGGGCTGGTAGCAGGTACATTTGCATCTCTTCTGTCTCAGGCATGATGGCCCTGGATATTAGGAAAGACTGACCTGAAGACCCTCCAGGACTCATGCCAGGCATGAGAGGCCAGGCCCCAACCCTAACATCTTGTTTGGCCACCACAGTAGTTGGAGCAGGCCAGTGGGCAGGAGGCATGTGGTTTGCTCTTAATGCATGAAAAGTAAATTTGTACTTGATAGAGCTAAAATACGATCTTTTTGTAATCTCTCATCTGAACCCTGTAATTTGAGCCAATGCCTTGCTTAAATTTTGGTCTCCAATTTCCTTCCAGAGAAGAGGTCAAAGAGTAGCCTCTCTGAGAAAGAGGCTAGATGGGGGCAGGGATTCGAGACCAGATTTTTCTCTTTCACAGCTCAGAGCTAATTTATTTTTTCTTCTGAATCTCAGGGTCTCATCTCACAGATATAAGTTACTTTACAAACTCAGTGACTTACCAGGAATTTTTTTTTTTTTCTCCCAATCTTAAATTCACAAATTAAGCAATGAAAAGTCAGATCTTCACAGTTCATATTGCCTCTTGTCACCAGGTCCATTGTCTTTGGGGATAGGAGCCACATCACACATGACTTTTAGCTGACACCTGCCACTGAGCAGAGCACTGGGAGCTTGGGGGAGGGGCCCCCGGTTTTGCAGGGTGGGAGTGGAGAGCCTTTCCTGAAGTCTGCACCTCTCATGAGCCTCCTCCGCCCCCTGCTGGCTAAGTGAGGGTTTGGCAGCTTGGGAGAGCTACCCTGAGAGCAAGGGTAACTAACTGTTCCTCAGCAGTCACAGTTGGCCTCTGTAATAAGCAAAAGGCCATGGAAGTCTTATTTTTCTAGCAGATTTGCTTCTGATGTCTTTACCTGAGAATCAAAAATTTCTGCTGTCTACCTTTAACATACCCAATAATTATTTTGGGCAGTAAATGCATAGAATGTATAAAGATATGCAGTCTATACCTTCCTGCATGTATATTTTCTTTTAGGTGTAAGCCACAGGACAGGAGAGCTACAGTGAGTAGGAGGAAGTGCTTAGAGTGAAAGATGCTGTGGGGCCTCCCTGTGGCCCTCCACATGTGGCTGTGCCATCTCAGGTCAGGTCACTTATGTGGTGGTAGGACCCCTCAGAACAAACATCTGCTGCAACTCGGGGTGTGAGGACTTTGGGGAAAGGTTGGCTGTTCCTAGGGCCACCGAGATTGTTTTGTAGTGGGCTGGGCCCAAGGCCAAGCTGAAGGTAGTTCAATTCCATTATCTGGTGCTCAGACACTCAGTAGAACAAAACCAAAGCCCTCCTGCCCTAAGCCAGCCACCCTTTCACAATAGAATTGCTGGCTGGGCCCTGCCTGGCTGGCAGGAAGCTAGGGGGCAGCCCTGAGCCAACCCAGAGAGGCCTGGATTTGCAAGCAGTTTCTTTTGTGTGCCATGGAACACCAAAAGATGAGTGGAGATCTTCTCAGTACTCTTGTCAAAGGTGCCATCAGCAAGGTGTGGTCTCATGAAGTCTCCAGTCATGTTCCCATAGGAACCCTTATGTTTGACTAAAGCCGGGACCCTACTTCTTTGGAGGGAGGTAGGCTGGGGGCTGGCAGAGGTACAGATGGGGCCTGGGGTTGGCTCTGGGCTTAGGCCTGCTCCCTGACTCCAGTATGAGAAAGAATCTCAGCTGCTTTGGTTGGGATTTTAAATGCAAATGAGAAAAGTGTTCCCTGCTCTTCAAAATGCTGGCAGATGTCTCTCCTGCTGGTTGGTGGGCAGGAAACCAAATTGGGACTGCTCCTGATACAGAAGCCAGAATCACTGAGAAGTTCTGGAGAACCCAGTCTCCAGAGCCCCAGGGAGGTGTTTTAAATGAAAACACCACAATCAGAAGTAAAGGGCTTCAGGAGAAGGAGACATACCCCCTTCAAGTGAGGCTCCTGCCAATTCTCAGACATGCAGTTACATGTCAAAGGACTTTGCATCATCAGCCATGTAAAAGAAGGAAGACTTTCTAACATGCCCTGCCCCCACCCCATCCCACTGTCCTACCCCAGCTGACACTATCCCAGAAGAGGCTGCTCTCCCAGTGCTTGAATGGCTTCAGGGTATCGTGGTTGGTGGCCCTGTGCCCTGGTGGCCAGAAGAAAAGTCACCTGCTAGCTCTGCAGGTCCCATGGCCCTTTCGACGTTGCACATGAATGGGGAAGGCTGTGGCTGCCACCAAAGGCTGTCATGTTTTCTTCAAGTTGGACTTCTGCAAAGCTTGATATTTTCTCAAGGTTAATCACAATCTTTTATTCTTCATTTTCTTGGTAAAAATGGAGGGTTTTTTAAAGTACTATTTTTTGTTTTATCTTCAGAACCTTTAGGAAGGCCAGGCCCAGGCTTCTTATTTTGTCTCCAAGTGGGCTGTGAGAGGCACTGTTAGGGCCCTGGCTCCTGAGAAGTGATTGGCTGCTCTTCTTGGGGGGCTGTAGATGGGAAGGGAAAGTGGGTCAGAGATGTGTCCCTGTGGCTATAATGCTGGAGCCCCTGCAGTATCTCACAGGACTCAGACGATTCCAAAATGGGTAGAAAACGGTCATGTCACTGGATGCTTGTTTAGAAATAAAAGTGGATGCTGCTGAATTGAAGCTGGTTCTGTGTTCATGTTCAGGTGGCTTTGCAAGGGTCACACTCCAGCCTCAACCTTGTTGCATGTCTATTCAGCCCCTCTGGGCCAGCCACCTGCGGAGCGCAATAGTAAGGAGCAGGGCTTTGGATCAGGCAGGCCTGGTTTGGGTTCTGCCTCTGGCCCTCAGTGAGGGGCACAGGAGGCTGAGCAGGAGGGGTCAGCTCCCCAGCCAGGCCTCCAGTGTTTCCTCACAGGTGCTGGTTCTGTTCTCCTAGGCCAGTTGGCAGGGCCACCTGGGATCACAGATGGGTCCCTGGCAAGACTCTGGTGAAAGGGGGAATTTTTTTTGAGACAGAATATCCCTATATTGCCCAGGCTAGAATACAGTGGTGTCATCACAGTTTATTACAGCCTTGAACTTCTGGGCTCAAGTGATCCTTGTGCCTTAGCCTCTAGAGTAGTAGTCCTCCTAGTAGGACTACAGGCATGCATCACAATTCCCAACTATTTTATTTTGTTATACTATATAGACAGGGTCTCGATATGTTGCCCAAGAAGTCTTGAACTCCTGGCCTCAAGCAGTCCTCCAGCCTCAGCCTCCTTAAGTGCTGAGATTATAGGCATGACCACTGCACCTGGCTGAGAACTTTCATTGAACTTGCACTGGCACAGAAGCTGGGGCTCATCCATACCCTCTGATCAGAGGTGGTGACATTATGTGTAGGAAGTCTGGGGCATGAGTTTATTTTTATCCCCAAAGTACTTCCATAAGGCATCCAAAGCTGCTTATGGAAACAGACGCAAATAAAAAGTACACATGCCAGGTGCAGTGGCTCATGCCTGTAATCCTAGCACTTGAAGGCTGAGGTAGGCCTAAGCTCATGGGTTCGAGACCAGCCTGAGCCAGAGTGAGACCTCGTCTTGAAAAAATAGCCAGGCATTGTGGTGGACACCTGTAGTCCCAGCTACTTGGGAGGCTGAGGCAAGAGAATCGTTTAAGCCCAAGAGTTTGAGATTACTGTGAGCTGTGATGCTGAGGGACTCTACCAAGGGTAGAAAAAGAAAAGAAATTGGGGCTCGGCGCCTATAGCTCAACCGGCTAAGGCGCCAGCCACGTACACCTAAGGTGGCGGGTTCGAATCCAGCCCAGACCCGCCAAACAACAATGACGGCTGCAACCAAAAAATAGCCGGGCGTTGTGGCGGGCGCCTGTGGTCCCAGCTACTTGGGAGGCGGAGGCAAGAGACTCGCTTGAGCCCAGGAGTTGGAGGTTGCTGTGAGCTGTAATGCCACGGCACTCTATCCAGGGGGACAGCTTGAGGCTCTGTCTCAAAAAAAAAAAAAGAAATTGGAACAGAGGGAGCACAGCTACCAATTTTTAGGAGATAGAGAAAAAGGAGGAACATGCTAAACAACAAACAGGCTGAAATAAGGAAGATTTAGACCCTAGCAAACTCTAAGGACTATTTCTTCAACAAATACATCTCAAAGAAAAAAGGAAAGATGGGACACCAATACTCAAACGGGAAGCCTACAGAGAAAATGTGATTTAAAGTCCTATCAATCAGCGGCCTATAGCTCAGTGGGTAGCACACTGGCCACATACACCGAGGCTGGCGGGTTCAGTCCCAGCCCAGGCCTGCTAAAACAACTGTGACAACAAGAAAATAGCCAGGCATTGTGGCAGGTGCGTGTAGTCCCAGCTACTTGGGAGGCTGAGGCAAGAGAATCAATCACTTAAGCTCAAGAGTTTGAGGTTGCTGTGAGCTATGATGCTACAGCACTCTACTGAGGGTGACAACTTGAGACTGTCTCAAAAAAAAAAGTCCTATCAATCAATTGCAACGTGGGTAACTTATTTGGGCCCTGATACAAATAACAGGAAAATCCATATTTTAACAATATGAAAGCATAAAACAACAGACATCACCTAGACATTTGTTAATATTAAGGAACTATTTTAAAAAATAAGATGTTGGAGGGCAGCACCTGTGGCTCAAAGGAGTAGGGCACTGGCCCCATATGCCAGAGGTGGTGGGTTCAAACCCAGCCCCAGCCAAAACCTGCAACAACAACAACAACAAAAAAAGTAAGATGTTGGCTGGGCATGGTGGCTCATGCCTGTAATCCCAACACTCTGGGAGGCTGAAGCAGATGGATTGCTTGAGCTCAGGAGTTTAAGACTAGCCTGAGCAAGAGTGAAACCCTGTCTCTACTCAAAATAGAAAAATCAGCTGGGTATTGTGGCAGGCACCTGTAGTCCCAGCTGCTTGGGAGGCTGAGGCAAGAGGATCTCCTGAGCCCAAGAGTTTGAGGTTGTTGTCAGCTATGATGCCCTGGCACTCTCTACCCAGAGTGACAGAGACTCTGTCTCAAAAGAAAAAAAAAAGTAAGATGTTATACTAATAGTTATTGTGTTAGTCTGTTTAGGCTGCAAAATACCATAAACTTGGTGGCTTTTATATACAATAATAGTCCCTCACAGTTCTGGAGGCTAGTAAATCCAAGATAAAGGTACAGTCCAGTGTCTGGTGAGGGCTGCCCACTTCCTGATTCACAGATAATGGTCTCCTCACTTGGTCTTCATACAGTGGAAAGGAAGAACTCTGCTCTCTCCAGCCCCATATGGGCACTAATCCCTTTCATGAAAGTTCCACCCTCATGACCTAATCACCTCTCAAAGGCCCTACCTCCTAATACCAGCACACTAGGGATTAGGTTTCAACATATGGATTGGCCGAGGCAGGCATAAAATATTCAGTCCATGACAAGTATCATGTTTTAAAAGCTCTTATCTTTTAGATACACACACTGGAATATTTACAAATGAGATGTCTGGAATTTGCTTCATAGGAATGCGAGAGTGAGGGAGTAGATGGCCAGAACAGAGGAAACTAAAGTGGCCACAATTTGGTAACTGTTGAATTGCTGAAGCTGGGTTTAATGTACATGAGGATTCACTGTTCTTTTTTTTTGAGACAGAGCCTCAAGCTATCCCCCTGGGTAGAGTGCTATGGCATCACAGCTCACAGCAACCTCCAACTCCTGGGCTCAAGCGAGTTTCCTGCCTCGGCCTCCCAAGTAGCTGGGAACACAGGCACCTGCCACAATGCCTGACTATTTTTTGGTTGCAGCCATCATTGTTGTTTGGCAGGCCTGGGCTGGATTCAAACTCGCCACCTTAGGTGTATGTGGCTGGCGCCTTAGCCACTTGAGCCACAGGCACTGAGCCAGGCTTCACTGTTCTTCATCTCACTTCTAGTGTAAATAAAAAGGTGGTTTTGTTTGTTTGTTTGTTTTTATTCAGTCTTACTTTGTCACCCTTGGTAGGATGCCATGCCATCATAGCTCACAGCAACCTCAAACTTGGGCTCAAGTGATTCTCTTGCCTTGGCCTTAATGCCTGGCTAAATTTTCGTTGTTGTTTAGCAGGCCTGGGCCAGGTTTGAACCCACTAGCCCTGGAACATGTGGCTGGCACTCTAACCACTGAACTATGGGTGCCCAGACTAAGGTTTTATTTTTATTTTCTGAGATAGGACCTTGCTACATTGCCCAGCCTGGTTTTGAACTCCTGGGCTCAAGGAAGCTCCTAAGCTTCTGCCTCAGCCTCTTGAGTAGATTACAGGTACCATCTCACTTGGCAAAAAAGCTTTCATTTCTTATTTTTATTTATTTATTATTTTTTGAGACAGAGTCTATGTTGCCCTGGGTAGACTGCTGTGGCGTCACAGCTCACAGCAACCTCAACTTCTTGGGCTTAAATGATTCTCTTGCCTCAGCCTCCCAGATAGCTGGGACTACAGGCACCCACCACAACGCCTGGCTATTTTTTGGTTGTAGTCGTTTGGCAGGCTTGGGCTCCAGGCTGGATTTGAACCCGCCAGCTCCAGTGTATGTGGCTGGCACCCTAGCTACTGAGCTACAGGCACTGAGCTACAAAAAAAAAAGCTTTTAAAATAGGCTCAGCACCTGTAGCTCAAGCAGCTAAGTCGCCAGCCACATACACCTGAGCTGGTGGGCTCAAATACAACCTGGGCCCACCAAACAACAATGATGGCTGCAACCAAAAAATAACTGGGCATTGTGGTGGGGGCCTGTAGTCCCAGCTACTTGGGAGGTGGACACAGGAGAATGGCTTGAGCCCAGGAGTTAGAGGTTGCTGTGAGCTGTGACACCACAGCACTCTACCCAGGGTGAAAGCTTGAGGTTCTGTCTCAAAAAAAAAAAAGCTTTTAAAATATACAAATGGGAAAAAATGTGGCTTAAACAAGCAACAGTTCACTTCTCACATAACAGACCTAGAGGCAAGTGGAGCAAGCAGACCACTGCTGCAGCTCTCTGGGTATGAGGCCAACCCTGTCCAGCCCCTGCTCGCTCCCTTCTTCATTTGGTTCCCCTCAGTCTCAGCCTCTCCACCCCCAGCCATCATAGCATTCCAGCTAGGAGGAAAGGGCAGGGTGAGAATAGCAACCTCCCTTCTTTGAAGGACAAGTCCTAGAAGTCAGACAAAGCACCTTTCCATCCAGGGGCCAGACATACGACCATGGCTGACTGCAGAAGAGGCTGAAAAATGTAGTCTTTATTCTGGATGGCCACAGCTCTAATCCCAAAGGAGAAGCGGTAAATGTAGATTCAGTGTCTATCACCAGAGTTCTCATCCCTCTGAGATTGGCATGCTGGGTGCCACAGATTGGTGCTTGGCATCAGAGCTAAGGCTGTACAACTGGCAGATCTGATGAGGTTTCAATATGCTTGTCAGTTCCCTTTACAAATTGACCAATCTGCTCTGAAGTTGCTGCTCCTCTTTAGATGTGGGAGCAAACATCTGGCTCCCTCTACTCTCCCAGGAGAGGTGTACATCTCCAGAAAGCTACTGCTCCTGACAGCCAGGGTGACAATACCATTTCCTAAGCCGTAGCTAAATGCAGTACCAGCCAATGCATGAAATGAAGAAACCTATTCAGGCTTTGCCCCACCAGCTAAACTGCCTCCTGGGGGCCAGCACAGTAGAGTGGGCAGCAGGCTGGGCTGAGGCTCTGCTGGTGCTGAAAGCCAGGGCTGCACAAGCGCAGCTGCTCTTCTTCCCTCTGTGAGACTTCTGTCACATATTAAGTATTTTGCTTTCATGTCAATATGCATTTTAAAAAATGCCTTAAAGGGTGGTGCCTGTGACTCAGAGGAGTGGGGTGCAGGCTCTATTTGCTGGAGGTAGCAAGTTCAAACCAGCCCTGGCCAAAAAAATGCCTTAAATTGATTTTTTTTTTTTT